TCTACTCATATCCGAAAATATTACGTGTCACCCTGGGCATGGTTACACCAATCTTCCTAACACTGACAGGAGCCGCTTTTCTCATGCTGGCACCTACGATAAGCAACCAAGCGTATTGTTCCTTGGAATCACCAGCAAAAGCCTTCACCTCACTCGCCTCTGAGTCAGAGTTGCGATCACAGCGACATATGCTGGGCCGAAGTGATGTGATATTTCGGCATATATCAGGGTCTCATATGCAATGGGTGCTATTTTTGAACGCGAGGCTGAGGTTAACTTTGCGGAGAATCCCACATTCTCAAGGTTATGCCCTTGCTAGGGGTATATAATCTGTCTACCCACAGAAAGATGAAATCAACCTAAGTCCCAGTACCAAAATGACCCACCCGTGTCTCGCGTGGAGGCAGCTCTGCCTAGTTGTCCTTTCTGTCGCAACTGCGGTTTGGGGGCTTTCAATTGCAAATCACACAACTTCCTCTCCCTGCCATTGCATGCCGCAAGACCCTTGCTGGCCTGAAGATTCCCAATGGGCTCGATTCAACAAAACCGTGGATGGGAATTTGATTGCGACAATCCCAATCGCCAGCGTCTGTCACATCGACTCGTTCACGCCGTATGATCAATCAAAATGCGCACAACTTCAGTCCAACTGGGGGTTCCCAGAAACGCACTATGAGAGCTCCTCGTCAATTATGGCGGCCAGATTCACGAATCTAAGCTGCAATCCCTTCGCGTCGAAAACATCACCTTGTACGATCGGGAACTACGTCCAGTACGCCGTGAACGCGACGGATGCCTCACACGTCCAGAAAGCAATTCATTTTGCAGCTCGGCACAACATCCGCCTTGTCATCCGGAATACTGGACATGACCTACTTGGGAAGTCCACCGGAGCTGGAGGGCTGGCGATCTGGATGCATTACATGAAAGATATTTCCATCGTGGACTACGTCTCGTCACACTATTCCGGCAAAGCCATGAAGATGGGAGCTGGAGTTCAATCATTTGAAGCCAGCGAGGCAGCATATAAAGCTGGACTGGTTGTCGTGGGCGGAAACTGTCCAACGGTCGGGCTGGCAGGGGGATATTCCCAAGGCGGCGGACATGGCCAACTGGTGTCCCATGTGGGCCTCGCCGCTGACCAGGTCCTGGAATGGGAGGTAGTCCTCGCAGATGGGAAGATAGTGACCGCATCTCCAACAAATTATCCAGATCTCTACTGGGCACTGTCAGGTGGAGGTGGAGGCACTTACGGTGTTGTTGTGTCGATGACAAGCAAAGCTTACCCTGAGCTGCCGACGGTATCAGGTAACCTTTCATTCTCCGACACAGGTGTATCGCGAGATAAATTCTTTGCGGCGGTCACCATGTTTATATCGATTCTTCCCTCGATCGGGGATACAGGAGGTGCAACTATTTGGTGGTTAACGAACAATACCCTCTCGACAACACCTACCACCATTCCGGGCGGCACAGCGACACTTTTTAATTCTCTTTTTGCTTCTTTGATTGCGTTCCTTGAACAAAACGACATACAGTACAGTAAGCGAAATATTATACCCAATTGGAGCCAACACTGACGGTGCGTGAACAGCACATTATGTGGACGATTTCCCTACATACCACGACGCCTACCAGACGACGAACCCACCTAGCAACATAACGGATCAACTTGGTGGTGGCCGTCTGATTCCAAGATCCGTAGTCGAGGTGAACTTGGCTGATCTAACCACCGTCTTCCGTAATATTGTCGAAAGAAATGCTGGATTCTTGATTTCAGGAGTTATGGTCAACTCATCTCGAGTTGCATACCCCGATAACAGTGTCAACCCAGCCTGGCGAGACGCGTTGATGAATATTGTCATCGCAGCGTGAGTCTTTTCTAAGATTTCCCATCAGAGCTAGACAGGCTTTTATTAATATTGATTCAGGCCGTTCGACTATACTGAGTGGGAGAGCAATATTGATACCCAGCAGCTCATTACCGATGTTCTCATGCCTACACTAGAAGAGTTGACACCTGGAAGTGGCGCATATCTGAATGAAGCGGACCCAAATCAAAAGAATTGGAAGCACACATTTTATGGGGATAACTATCACAATTTACTAGCCATTAAGAGAAAGTATGATCCTGATTATAGGTTCTACGCTTTCAAGGCTGTAGGTAGTGACGCTTGGAGTGTGACAGACAATGGGCGATTGTGTAAGTCGCAAGATTACCAGACATGATGATAATGCAGGAGAAATACGTGCGATGAAGAACAAGGAGATACCATTGCATGTAATTTATGTGTCTCTGTGCGCCTATGGCTTAACTAGATGAGTGCATACTTGTAGTCCGGCCTGGCGACCATTGATGAATACATAACATATCATCCATTCGAGTTTCCTTTGATAAGCAATTCGGTTATGAAACATATCAATCACAAGGACCACCATCCCTTCTCAATGATCGTTGCAGCAACTCTCTTTAGAGTTGGCCAACGTGCACTAATCTCTGCTGCTGCACTGGCTGGAAGTGGTCCGGCCTTCCGAGCATCAACATAGTCTTGAAGCTGCTTCAGGGTGCTTGGTCCGATAACAATTCGGTCGGGATCCTTGAGGTTGGAATGGAAAAGCAACCAGCGTAGGGCGCATTGGGCTCCCGTAGTCCCCAGCCTGTTACCAATATTGTCCAAGGCCCGCATAGCCTGATGATAGAGGGGCTGATCGTACCACATGCGGTAAACTGCACCGAGCATGTTACCCTCTCCAACCTCAAAGCGGGTACCCTCCAGCTGTTCAGGCGATGGAGAATAGGAAAGCTTTCCAGTGAGGAATCCACCGGCCAATGGTGAGGTTGCCTCAAAGTCAATTCCGAACTCGCGAAGTACGGGGAAAAGTTCGTCCTCGTAGCCACGGCAGAAGACATTGTACTGGCCTTGGTAGACTGAAGGCATAACCAGGTTTTCCTCCGCTGCGATTTCCATCCAGGCACGGATTGCAGATGGACTGTAATTGGAGAGGCCCAACTTTTCAAAGTACCCTTGACGATAGTAATGGTCGAAATATAGGGCTTGTAGAGGAATCGGGGTCTTGCGGTCCGGGGCATGGGCGTAGAGTGTGTGGATCTATGAATAGCACTATTAGCCTTATATACATAGTCAGTATGTACTTTTTACTCACCTTGTTGACCTGCAGTCGCTCCAAACTCGCCTTGATAGAAGCTCCCATGTTGTTGATGGACAAAGAGTCATCGCCAATGAATAAAACCTTCGTGTCGATGATTGCATTTTCGGGCTTCTTTTTACCAAGGAGTTCCTCGGATTCACCGGGGTTCGTGGCGGGATACAGGGCAGCTGTGTCGAATTGATGAATTCCAGCCTCCGTGAGACTCTTCATCAACTGGTCGACATTATCAGCTGTCCAGGCGACACCAAATCCTTGAGCGCCGAATACATAGTGAGGGGTATCCATGGCTGAATGAAAGAGGATATGTGAAAGATTGAAAAGGCTGAGAAGGTTGGAGAGTCGAAGAAATGAGAAAGTGGAAAGGGAAAATTGTTTGACCTCGAAGGGAAGGTGCGTTGCACAAAGCACTTCACCTTCCCATTTGTCAAACATTGACATTGTTCAAGTGTAACTTATACTTGCTCTTTCTATATTTTCAAGAAACATTTATTTCTGGATATCACTTAATCTGCTGTGCTGCTTGCAGCTAGAACCTGGTTTCCAAATTCCTCAACCTTCGCAACAAGCTCATTTGTCCAACTAAGGTGCGGCGAGTGGCCGCACGGCGCATGATAGATCGTGAATGGCTTATTCTGGCTCGCCGCCATTCCCTCTTGATACTCCTTGGGCAATGTACGGTCCTTTTCTAACACGAGATAGGCACACGGCAGCACATCATAGGGATTATGGGTCAGAGGACTATTCATAACGGGAGCCGCTGTCAAGGTGGATGTCCACTTCTTCGCAGTCGCCGCGTCAAGGTCGTTGAACAGGTATTGCTCAGGGTCGACCATAGTTCCAAGCCCATTAACACCATGTTTCTGTTATTAACAGTCAGTATCTAAAAACATAGGTTGGTTCAGTGATCAACTCACATGGAACCGCATAAACGGAGGTGTAACAACTTTGCCGTCCGGAGGCTGAAAGAATGAGTGGACTGATTGGCCCTGCGGAACAATGAACGCCCCGATGAAGAATATCCCAATGACACCACCGGTCTTTCCTTCCTTTGCGCGGATAGGAGCTTGACGAGAGGATTGTGCAGCCTCAGCGGCGACCCAACCACCGGAAGAATGTCCTGCGAGCAGTACCGACTTTCCCTGTGCGATCAGCTTGTCGAGAAGCAGTCCAATCTCTGCTGCATCATCTGCGGGGAGTGGATAGCCACCTGGGGGAGCCTTGCGATCGAAATCGGGGTTGTTGGGGTTGCCGACATTGAGCTGACTGAGATCACAAGTGGGCCGCTGGGGACAATAGGCTTCGATTCCCTTCGCAGTCAAGCCATCAACAAGAGCTTGGTATGGAGCTGGAGTATGGTAGGAGCCATGGCAGACCACAACTACAAAGGGCTTAGAAACCATGGTGAGTTGTTGGGGGAGGAAGGGTTGGGGTGTCAAGGAATGTCAAGGTTCCCCGCACGTGGCCTGACAGCCTTAGATTGTATTGATGCCTGACCATAAAGGAAAATTAATGAGACTATATATATTCTGGCTGTCTTTCATGAACAGATCTGATCCAATTGGTTTGTCTCTCTCAATTATGTATTTTTGTAGAACTAATTTGAACCATCAAACGAGCGATACAAACGGTTCGGACCCACGGTAGTATAAATCTGACATGCATTACGGAGCATAAGCATACATATCCTGGTGTGTTGTCAGGTTTGGGTGAGTTATTACAAAAAAAAGAGTCCACTTCCTGACTGCGGAGCCGTGTAGATCTCCCGAGAAGAGGGAACGTGCATCGCAAGGATGTTCTTGGCCATTCCATTCTGAAGACAACACTCTCTTTCAAACAGTAGAAGTCTCGGACACCCGAGGGAGCACATTCAGACTATGAACGTCAAGATCTCGCGTGACCAAAATACCTGTCCCTGGAGCTTCATTTTCGTCCCTAGCCCCGGCATGTGCTGTGGGGCCACCTGCGGGCTCTATTTCCTTTGTATGGCCTCGCTCTTCACCATTATGACTCCGATCAAGGGTAGAAAGGAGAGAGTCGAATTTTGCGGGTCGACGGCGTAGTCGAGCCGACCCAATTGTCGGCAAATCTCGTTGTTGCGCTGAACGTACGGTTTGCCCGCGAAAGAATAAGGGCCCAAACGTTGGAACACAGGCCACCAAGATTCCTGCCGTCATCTCAGCCATGATGAAAATAGAAGAGTCCCTCAGGCAATAAATTAGGTCGTCAGCTGGACACAGCTTGGTCTGAATGATGCGGCCCAGATTGATACTGGCCGTTCTACTAGCGGTCAGCAACTAAATTTGGACTGAGGTCGTGGGGCACTTACAGAATGCCTATGGCGAATGATGCAGTGACGCCAATCTTTTTGCGACTTGACATTTGGAGTCGCCAGACAATAGGGAGCGGCAGTAATACAACTCCCAAATCAATCCCTATGTTGAACCCTGCAGATGCATACTCTATCTTCAGAACATTCCCACAGGTTCCTGGAATGGAGCGATTCCAGTTGTAGGCGACTGGACGACAGAGCAAAGCGATGGTCAAGACTGAAGATACCCAGTATAGGAAGACAAGAAATCCCACACCAGTTGCACACCAGAAAAATTTCGGATTTCCTGGGAAGATCTCCATATATAGCAGGAGTATGGCCAGTCTAAAGCACACTGTAGAGGTTGCCCATATCCATTCTGATGCCCAGAATATCTAACTAGGTTAATATCCCACAGAAACATTCAAGAAGAGAGACCAAGTACCTTCAATGCGCTAACCAACTCTCCCGGGTTTCGCACAGCCATATTCGCCGTACGCCCGCCATAGCCAGCGGTGGTTGCCCCTAATATGGAACCTTAGCTCTGTGTGCCGCGTAGAGAGTCGATTGGATCAACTCACCTATCAGCATGTCCACTACATAGCCAGTCAATAACACCTAACGTTATCATCAGCAGGCTGAAGAGCTCATCGTCCAGTCAAACCTACCAATGAGAAAAAAACAAGGTAATCATGAGTTTTTAAGGCCCGACGTCGTATATGGGTAGAAGCAACTCGAAGTGCAACTGCTACTGTGGCAATGAAGAAAAATATCAAACTCCATACTATCAGAACTGGAGCCCGATGATTGAAGTGGATCATATTCGAGAGAGGAGTAAGCAATGGCGAGGTCTGACAGTATAAAACAAAGTTATTCGACAGTATATAGTATGTAGCTTAATATCAGAAGGGGTGGGTCGAGAGAAACAATGGCATTCTGCAAATTCAAGAGACTCATTTCAACTAATCTGTCATGGTTCAATTTTGACAGCATGTGCGAATCCATTTCTGATACGGAAAGTGTCCATGAACACAGTAGACTTCATTTCGTACAACGTGAAAACCTTGACCGCGACTTTCTTCAATTCGCGCATCAGCAGAGTTTCAGTTGGGAAAGTACTGAAGTGAGACCCTGGTGACTGTAGCGAAGGGCAAATCTCCCAAGGTTGTTGTGAGGCAGAGACTAGACTGACCGGATCATTCACAACATCCAAGTCCACACCCTTCCCATCAACCCGCATCCTGCATCCTCTCTCTGTACAATCCTAGACATCGACCTTCATCCGTTTGAATCAAAGTACATCGTCAAAATGCCTCTCTTCGGGGATACATACGCGGAGAATATGCAGCGGGATTCCACCGAGGCGCAAAGGCAAGAACTCACCAACAGCCTATGAAAACACCAAATACTAACATTCCTCAATAGACTCGACGAACAATTTGGTCTCCTCACCGAGTAAGAACACCTCGCCAAGTCTTGTGTTGCGAAGCAGCCCACAAGCAAATCATACTAATTTCTGCTGACACAGAAACATCGGCTACCTGCTGCACCCGTCCGTTCGAGACAAAATGCATGCACACGCACGAGTTGCTGACATTGCCACCGGTACTGCAGCCTTCCTGCGTGACCTCGCCCATGACTGGCCCGACGCAATCTTACACGGCTACGACATATCAACTTTGCTCTTTCCACCCGCTAGAACTCTCCCCAAAAACGTGACTCTGCACCTTCTCGATGCCCGCAAGGATGTTCCCGTCGCACTTTACGGACAGTATGATATCGTGCACGTTCGATTGATTGCTGCCGGGTTGACTGCGTCTGAATGGGGGAGGGTTATTCGCAATCTTGCTAAGCTTCTAAAGCCTGGTGGTGTTATGCAGTGGGAAGAGTGTGACTTTACTAACGTTCGACACCTTCCTGGTAGACCTGATTCTACGACCGAAGCGGCTAGTACCATCGGATTGATGTTCCTGACTGCCATGAGACCCCGCTTTGAGTATGGCTGGAATCGATTGGCGACCGACATGCGCGCTGCTGGTCTTGTGGATGTTCACACCGAAGCTGTTTCTGCGGATCGGGTGTATGATACGCGTGAGCGCCTCGCTGCAAATGGTATGAGGGCTATGTTCGCGTGGGCATGCCTTCATTCTGCTAAAGGGTCGCATGGGGCGCTGGCCATGCGGAAGATTGAGGATTTAGAGCGGAAGGCTTATGCGGATATTCGATCTGGTTGTTATGTTACATTTGACATCCACGTTGCCTGGGGATTTCGACCTGAGTAGAAATAATGAACAAGCATTATCTGCAAGCTGTATCTAGTTCAACCCTTCTCGCACGGATATTCAAAAAGTCAATCGAAACCAATGAAGAACTATTGTTACTCATATTATTTCCACACTCAGGCCTATCTCATTTCACCTTGCTTATACCCGACTTTGGAACACAAGCCGACATGCACCGGGCTGCGCGGTCAATTGGTCCTTCATATCCCGTTCCACAGCCTCACCATTATTCTCATCAGGTGCAAATTTGATCCGATAATGGAACACCAGGGCGGCAGCGACGAGTCGGATTTGTGCGAGAGCTAAATGACGACCAACACAGCTTGTACGCCCTATCGAAACAAAGACTCAGAATGCGAGCCTCTTGTTATCCCCGTGCAACCCAACTAGCCACATGGGAGATCTGACCACACGGGTCAATGGTAGGGTTGTAGCTTACCGACGCCAAAAGGAGCAAATGCCCTTTTATCCTTGATCAGCTCCGGTTGGCTGTACCACCGCTCGGGGATGAACTCATGGGGGTAGACGTACGCCCTTTCAACTAGAAGTTTATCTTAGTCTTTCCGACCAAACAGGAGATAAGGGGTCTCTCACGTCGACCGATCGTGTAGCGTGGCGCACATATTTTGGTATTTCCCGGGATAAACGTACCATCTATCATTAGTCCTTGTGGTGGAGTTACCCGAGAGCTGAAGGTTAGTACTGCTGGAAGCAATCGCATTGCTTCGTTTATAGTTCCCGTCAAATGAGACAACGTGGCTAGGGTAGTTGGATTCTCCCTATCAACCCCCTGTATCTCTTCATATATCTTCTCAGCATGTGTGGGGTATCGAGCAAGGAAATAGAAGAGAAGGGTTAGACTAGGAGCAGTGGTGTCGCTAGGATTGTTAGTCCATTGCTTCATGATATCCAGACATACTGACCTTCCGGCTACAACCAGTGTTGCAGTATCGCCGCTCAACCACCGTGCCTGCGTGGGATCTGATCCACGTTTGATGTGGTCCTCAATAAACCAAGATGCGATATCACGATCTGGGAGTGTTTTCTACTTCTATGTTAGCAGGGAATTCATTGCCCATGTGCTTTCTACTACCTTCATCCGTCGAGCCATGCATTGATCACAAAATTCGAGCATATGAAACCAGTGCCGGACCTTCCACAGCGACGGGATAAATGCAAACCCAAGTCTCGGGATCCATATTGCAGGACTGAATGGCCCTAGCAACGTGAGTGCCGAGCGTAACATCGCTATCGACGAATGCCACCTCTTGCTACTCATCATGCCGAAATCCTCGCTGAAGGCAAAATCACCCATGGAGTCAAAGGCGAAGAAATACATTAGGTCATTTATGAGAACGGGGCGTGATTTTCCCGAAGCAACTAGGCTCTGCAGCGTTCGTACCTTTTCCACCACCCGACGATGATACTGGAGTAATGCTGAACAAATGTCAGTCTCCAATGTATTGCGAGCCATTAGGTTCACCAGACCTTTCCTGCTCAATGCTTGCTCCCACATCTTCCGCCTATCATGGTGCAATTGCCGGTCGCGAGTGAAGATTGAGGATATCCGGGGATACAGAAGGTCGTACCAATCAGAGCGCGTGTTGTCATTGTCAGGACCATCCATGGCCTCATAGGCTTCGGGGTGGAATATGGTGATTTCGGCAGGACCTGAGTATTCAATCTCAATGTCATCAAGGAATCCTACTTGGTTGGGATGTATCTTACCGGTTCGTACAAACTCCCCATATTTTTCGTGCCAGTCCTGCAAGACGAGATGTCCACGCGAGTCACGACATTTCCAAACATGCCATAGTTTGGTCACTGCTGCTAGTTTTGGGCCGGGGAAATGTTTCAATCGATGAAACATGAGCCGGTATACTGCAATACTTGCGAACAGTGATGAGAGATAGCATGTCGCCAAGTATATTGTCCGAACCAAGCTGGCTTGAGTGTTTCCGCGGCCAAAAAATTGCTTTACCCAGAATAAACAGCTAAAAAGAAGATGGAAGGCGACCACTCTGGGGCCTTTTAGATGCCATTCTCCGTGAATGAAGACAAGTTGATGGGCCAGTAGCCCTGCAATAATTGCAACTCCCCCTGGAACTAGCATGGTAATGATCAGACCGAATATTTCCAAACAATGGTAATGTCTATTTGGAGCCGCAAAGTGGGACGAGTCCTATGCACTTTGTATCATAAACGTCACAGTGGAGGAGAAACCAACAGGCAATGTTGGACAACACCGGTCATTCACAGCCATCGGAGGGTATGACCAAAATTCGGCCATTTTGGATATCTAGGTAACCTAATGTGTTCATCGTTTACCCCAGAAACTGCTCAACTATTTAGTATAGGTTGGGTGCCTTGTCCGAGACATTCAGAAGTCTACCACCTTCTGTTTTTTGTTTTGCTCTCATTTGACCCTTCCGACCTTCATCTATTCCCAAAATTCCGAGCCCAAGGCTTCAATTCAACCGCGTGTGTGATGTAGAGCACCAACTCACGATTCCATATACCATCAACTTCGATTGGATCATTGGTATTGATCAGTCATGAGCCGATGTCTCTCAATTGTCCAAATGGCAATGAAATCTATGTGGTACCACTCATATACCTTCTGGCTATTCGTCTTCAGCGACTTCAAAACTATTGTGGCACCAAGTACCATTTTCGGAATCACAAACGCTTGGGCCGTGTCCAAATACGACCCGCAAGTTTCAGGAGCTTTGTCCCCTCCCCAAACCGTAAGCGATACTCCAAAGTCGATTCGAAGAACTCTCGCGGCATTATCATGGCTTCTGATCAACTTAATTCCATTCGCCATCAACAACCAAAGGGGCGAAAGAGCTATTGCTGAGGACAGTTTAAACAAGCCATGGCGCCCATTCCCCTGCCGCAGGATTTCTCACGAGTGGGGCACGCGAGTAATGATCCTTTTATATCTATTAGCCCCAATCTATAGTCTTGCATTCTCCGGGGGAGTCCGACATTCCGTGGTTTTGATATGGTTAGGGGTGTGGTACAATAACTGGGGTGGTGCGGACAAGAACCCAGTCATTCGGAATATTATCAACGGGCTGGGGTATACCTGTTTCGCATCCGGAGCGATGGAAGTGGCCTTGGGCGGCTCTTTGCTCCCTCTTCACCCGCTTGGGTGGCTGGGACGGTGGCTTCTAGTCCTCATCGGGGTTATTTTCTCCACCGTCCAATTGCAGGACATGTCTGATCAACCCGGGGATGCGAAACGCGGTCGGCGAACGGTGCCTCTAGTATGGGGTGATACTGCGGCGCGGTGGACGATTGCTATACCCATGCTTGGTTGGGGAATATGGTGTCCGATTTTGTGGGATGTGTCACATCTTTGGCTTACCATCAGCATCGCATTGGCTTCGCTGGTGGCCTTGAGGACTCTGGTGATTCGTTCTGTTCAAGGGGATAAACAAACATTTCGACTTTGGAATTGTTGGATTGCGTTCATCTATATGCTTCCTCTATTTTCTAGAGGGGAGTCTCCTTGGAGTGAACTTTCAAGTGATGTTGGGTGAGATTGGTGGACCCCAATTGGCAGAATTAGCGCTCTCCTGTGATGGCGTCACATCCACCCCCATTATTATTATCCACCTACACTCCATGCCTACATACCGGTGTCTAGCTAAACACAGACTTTTTTTTTCTCGTATCATTGTAGTATGTAGTAAGCTGAAGATATTGCCCGTGTCTTGGCTGTATACTCGGTGATAAGAATTCCCTAATGCCGAGATGAGCTTAAACCCGCTAATCTCCCGCCAGGCAGCTGGGCATGACGTTGGCATTCTCGACTTAAATATCGTCGCTTCATGTTTGTTTTTGCTTTTTCGGTCTTTTTTTCTCCAATCATCAATTCAAATATTCATTCATCATGGGGTTCCTTTACTCACAATTCTTCGTTACTCCTAAATACCCAACACAGTCTTTCGCCGATCAAACGGTGCTCATCACTGGCGCCAATGTGGGCTTAGGCCTGGAAGCTGCACGTCACATCACACGATTAGGTGCCGCCCGAGTGATCCTTGGTGTTCGAAATGTGGCTGCGGGCAAAGAAGCCAAAGAGAACATCGAGAAATCCACAGGCCGCCCTGGCGTCTGTGAAGTATGGGAGATCGACCTAGCCTCCAACGCCTCAGTTCTTGCCTTTGGCGAACGCATCTCCAAACTTCCCAAGCTCGACGTAGCCATCCTCAATGCAGCAGTTGCCACGGCAGAGTTCAGCACAGCCGAAGGTTATGAGCGAACTGTCACTGTCAATGTCATCAACACTCTACTCCTCGGCCTTCTCCTCCTACCAGTCCTGAAAGCCACACGACAAAAGAACCCATCGCGTACGCCCCGACTTACCTTCGTTGTGAGCGAAGTACACGCATGGGTGAATTTCACAGAATGGAAGGAAGATGAGCCAATGAAGGTCGTCAGCGACCAAACCAAAGCCAAAATGGGCGAGCGGTACCCATTATCGAAGCTGCTTCAAGTGCTGCTTGTGCAGGAACTAGCAGGGCGGGTGCGTGGATCAGAGCTGATCATTAACATGCTCAATCCTGGTCTCTGCCACTCACAGCTGGGGCGAGAGGCGGGCTTTACTTTCACGCTGATGAAATTAGTTCTGGCGCGATCGACGGAGGTTGGATCTCGAACGCTAGTGGCAGGCGCTTCAGCTGGCCTCGAAAGCCACGGTGCATATATGACTGATGGACACGTGGAGAACACGATGCTTTCACCTTTTGTGCGCAGTGACGATGGGCGCCAAGCCCGTGAGAAACTATGGGCTGAGTTATCGTCGATCCTTGAGGGTGTTCATCCTGGTATTATGCAGAATGTCTAATTTGGGGCATGAGGTTTTTTTTTTTGTAAATTGAGTCAATTACATGGACATAATTCATCATAACGGGCTAGATGCGCTAATTGAATTCTCTTCTCACATAATATCTTATGGTTTACGGTATACGGAGAACATTGACGCCATCTGCAGCTGAGTCCTTCGTACTACCTACTGCTACTCCACGGCTGACCATTTAAGACTACCAAAATACAACGCAGGTCGGTGCCGATCTCCGATGTTGGATTGGTCAGATCGTGTTCATAACCCTTTCTTTTTTTTAATGTCCACTTCATCTGGACCTATCTTATTCGCAGAGAGTCCCCCCCTTGCCCCCGGCACAAATTGCCCGCTATGCTAGGTCCGACGCTGAGCCAGCCCATTTCTCAATACTATGACCTCTCACACCAAACGTTCCGTGAGCACGAAATGATGGCGCTGTACGGAGTACATCTCACGAGCTTCCAAATATGCCGATCTATGGCTATGATTTGCTCAATGAATCCCCCGGGCGTCAATAACGAGGTCTTATTGACTACCCTCTTGGTTCAACAAAGGGATCGGTGCCAAGGGATAAGTTCACAATGACACAGCTTCTGCATGCCTGTTCCCTGTGCAAGTTGCCATACATTTAGGCCAGGTAAATCCCTAATCCAGGACTGCAATAGTTTATTTCTCCGCACTTGTTACTGTTCATCTCCACCATGGCTCCTGTCTTGTTAGAACCCACAATTGTTGTTCCCCAGCCCAATACTGCTCCATTGAAAGTATCAGTCAATGGTACTGTTACAAATGGAGTTGACCTGACCCTGAAGGCGCGTCCCTGGCGACTCCTGCATCTCGCCGATGCCCTCAATCCTCCCCCGCCCGCCCAGGAGGAACATCCGGATATCTATATCCAGCGATTACTCCAATTGGCCTGGGTTACTACTATCAGGGCATTTTCCTGCTCGACAACCCTATACATTGGTCAAGACTATCTAAAGGGCGAATGCTACATAGGCGAGGCAGCTCATGGCTACTCGAACCCGACCGTCCAGATTCACATAGATCCTCATGATACCGTGAGAGATCTCTTCCGCGAGACTGTTGAAGCATTGGGTCCACTATCCCAGCTCAGAATTACGGAGAATGTCCACAACGGCCAGCCTGGCGAGAATCCCGGCTTCAATGTGACAATCATCTACCAGAAGCAACCGGTGGGGCGCATTCTGTCTGGTCAGGATGCATGCGCCGGACATTGCCAGGTCTGCTGTGGCATACCGGTGAAAGAGCCATCGGAGGTAAACTCAATATTCGCCGGTCTCCGACTTTCAATACACCATACCTCCGACGATAGGTTACACGCACGGTTGGATGTCGGAAACACTGGTGTTGGACTACCACTGGCCATAAGCCTGTTGAACAGCTTCAATCAGGCCCTCTCATCAATTGATGGCTCATCCACACAGAGCATCGGTAGCCTCGAGTTATGCTCGCAGCAAGATCGTGAGCAGATCACCCAATTCACTGCAACCATTGAGCCTTCCCATGATGCCCTGCTGCATGACCTTTGTTTACAACATGCGAAGACAACACCCGATGCTCCCGCCGTTCGCTCCTGGGATGGCGATTTGACATATCGCCAACTGGAGGAATTGACCTTTCGCTTAGCCCATTGGCTAGTGGGACAAGGCGTCGGACCAAATATTTATGTGGCATGTGCCTTCCACAAATCCACCTGGGCTATTGTGGCGCGACTGGCCATCCTCATGGCTGGTGGGGCGTACATCTGCGTCGATGGGAATGATCCACCAGCATATCTTGCATCCGCTCTCGAACGCACCCAGATAAAAATAATGCTCACTTCATCCGGATACAAAGAGCGATTCGCAGATCGGGTCGAGACACTCTTCGAGGTCAGCGAAGCTTCCGTATCCAGTTTACCATTGAAGACTTCGGTCCCCTGTTCAACCGTCACACCCACCGACCCTTGCATTGTTCTCTTCACATCCGGCAGCACGGGAAAACCAAAGGGGATCATCCAAGAGCACCGCAGCTATGCCTCCGCATTAACAGATTACATCCGAGTCATGAACATGGGACCGCATAGCCGGATGTTCCAATTCGATTCGTACGCTTTCGACATCAGCAACAATGACTTCCTGGCCCCTCTCATGGCCGGTGGATGCTGCTGTGTCCCCACTATATCTCTGACGATGGAAGCTCTGATGGACGACATGAATGATCTAGAGGGGAACATAATGTTTATCACACCCACCGTTGCCGTCGACATGGAACCAGATCGCATCCCCACTCTGCAGACGATGTGTATTGGCGGCGAGCCAGTCTCAGACGCGGTACTGGCGAAATGGCTGGGCCGCGTGCAGGTGGTAAATCAATACGGCATGGGCGAGGTAGCTTCCCTCTGCGCATATAATCGAAATCTGCAGATGGGTCGTGGGTCAGTTGTCGGTCGTCCTGCTACCGGTGCAATCTGGATCGTCAATCCCGATAACCCCGACCAACTGATGCCCGTCGGCGCTGTTGGAGAACTTCTCATCGAGGGCCCCCATCTTTCCAGGGGATATCTAGATCACGTCTCTGGAAAGTCAGAGAACTTCCTCGCCGCGCCACCGATTTGGATGGCGCAGCTGCACGCCGACAGACCAAATCTCCGTCTATATCGCTCTGGAGATCTAGGCCGGTACAACCATGATGGCACGATCGAGCTGATGGGCCGCAAAGATAGCATGCTCAAGCTCGACGGAGCGCGCGTCGAAGCTGGCCAAGTGGAGTACGTGCTCCGACGTAACTTGTCCACCGGCGATGCCGCTGTCGTAGATATTCTCGGCGCTGTCGATGGCCAGGGCGATCCCATTCTTGGAGTTTACTTATACCTGGAGAATAACCCCATGAACATGGAGACCGGTCCGGTCGAAGAAATGGAGTTCCGACCGATCAGCAAAAGACATGCTGTGTATGCGCTCACCCAGTCGTTGAGTGAGGCGGTCCGCCAGAGTTTGCCGAAGTACTATGTTCCTGCGCTGTATATCCTTATCGATAGAGTTCCGCGCACCAAGTCTAAGAAGACGGATCGGCGCAAGCTTCATATGCTGGGGCAGGCTTATTACATGGAACATCGGGAAGAGTTGGATGGGATTACTGTTTGGTTGGATTGGAATACGATATAAATATGTCTCGTTCACTTTCGGGGTGAGTGGGTCTTTGGTTACTGGATATATTTCTGGTATTGATCTGGGACGACATCACATGCAAACGAAAACCACGATATATACGTATTTGGACGTTTATTCTCAGATGCAACGACCTTGAAAGATCAAAAAGAACCCCTTGCGGCCGGTCATGTCATCAATATATCGATGAGATTGCGTGGCCTTTGCACTTCTGCCTTGTCAACGAGTTTGTATTGCAGTTGTTTTATATGCTCCTGAAAAGTTATTTGTGAGGTAGCATCTGCCCGAACATGAATATCAAGATGTGCCGTTCATACAACATCATTTCTCATCCGGTTCACGGCGTAGAAATTAGGGCCAGGCGGGTGGTCCCCGCTCTTGGCGCGATTCGATGACTTTTCGAAATTAAATTCGATCCGCGTCCTGCGCACTCATATCCAATGTCTGACACTGGATATTTGAGCTAGAATTCCTAAGGGGAGGAACGTGGGGAAGTCGTGGCGGGGATAATAACCCCGCCGATAGCGCCGGGGCCGTCAATGACCGCGGCATGGCACAATAACGGCTCCCGGTGTACTCCGTAGCGCAGCCGGCACTAAGGGACGGAGTAGAAGAGCCCTAGGAGAGAAGAGGCGGGGGTAATACTGGTTCGGCAAATTGTCTCAAATAGCGAAACAATAATGCATCACCACCGACTCTCATCGATCATATGACCAAGCCGGGGACACAGACGGGAAGAAAGCATGCCTCATATCCTGGAACGCTATATCCTCATTCATCACCATGGAAGAACCAATCGCAAATCCCGCGTCAGGGTCAACGGGCAGCCAATTTGATGTCATGCGGGTACTGCCATCCGGCATCTCGAGTGGTGTGAGACACTCCTCGTCTATTCGTGATTGTCGACGGTGCGGGGAGCTGAGACTGTGGGTCTGACCATGAGCCTGATAATGGGCGTTTGGCGCCGAGGCTCCGAAATTTGACGGCCCGAAATCGAATTGCATGTATTGGGTATCGTCGTGCTCGGCTTCGCCTTCCCACCCGCTTGATGAAGCATGGCTTGGTTCTGGGGATGCGTTGGGATCTGAGGATGGTGATCCGGGGAAAGGGAAGCCGAGAGTATTTGGAGTGGGAGTCATAAAGAGTGCTCTTTGTGTTGCGAGCTCGAGATCTGGGCGGGGATGCATCGGGGGATTCTCGGTGGTTTGGAAGGGGCTTGATTGGTGGAGGGAGAAGCTACTTGCACATGTTAGTCACTTGCTTCTAGCTGCGCCGTTTGATTTTTTTTTTTTGGTTTCGCAGTTCCGGGGATTTCTGAGCAAGGGTTAGGGTAGTATTTACCTTGTAGGATCAGTTTTCTTGCCTCCACATTCTTCTCTTACTAGACCAGCATCATACCACATTTGCGGATATGGCTGAAATGCTGTCGATTTAACCGGGTATTCATTCGCCCAGTTGAACTGCTCCGCAGTCCAGGAAGCGTCCAGTTCCTCCTGCATTGGCAGAGGAAAGTCGCTGGCGATGAAAGGGTGCGGGCTAAGCTCATCGTGTTGTCCCATATGTGAATCAACGAGACTCTCCATGGGCCAGGAGGTAATCTCGTATGGGAATTGAGCCTCGGTCATGGTGAATGTGCTGTATTTGTGATAGGCTCAAGTGATGGCGCAAGTATAACGAGCAAAGCTCTAGTTGAAGCTTGAAGTTGGAGCTCTAAATATTTCGTATCTTGAGGCCTTGCTACCAGCACAAGAAAAAAAAAAAGCAAAGAATTATAATTCCCCGCAAAACCGGGGTCATGCTGGACTTATTTAAACCCAAAAAAAAAAAAAAAAAATTGCAATTCAAAAGATCAAACCACGCTGAGGAGCTGTGGAGTTGCGGAGAACCTGGGGCGAAGCTCCAACGGTAAATATCCCCACCGCATGATCTCTTGAAATTGTTCAATTAACCGATTTCCCCGGATTTTACAGTCGAGCCCGTGCATTCGGGGGAGACTTTTGGCCAATCGGTGAATTCCGGTAACACGGCATCAAGGATTTAATCGAGACCCCGCCGTGGATCGGGTAAATTGGAAGAGGCTTGAGAGATGAAGAACCTAAAGGAGAACGGGGAGTGATATTGGCCTCTCATTTCATACTTTAGTATAAATGAAGGTTTGTGGGGAAGATACTGTTGACATCACGAAAGAATAGACCGAGATGCCCTCAAGGGTAAATTATATATACTTGCAGAATTATCCGCCTTGAATAATACATGGAAAAGAAGCTTTCGCCAATTCAGACGCCATATATCCAAAAACGCCACTCAAAAACTGTACATGGAACAATCGTATAGAAGTAGTATCCAGTCAACCCCTGGATTGCGACGATCGACCATGTGGAAAGGGGTTCCTCCCACTTCCCCTCAGGTACGAAAACCCGCAGGAAACCGCGTGCTTTAGCTCCGTAGCCCACAGGGATCGACAGGAACAAAGAAATGTGGGCTGGACCTACTTCTGGTTGTGGGGTAGTTACAGGGCTAAGCCAGTCCCCTTCCGCGTCCAGCGGTAAAGCGCGAGAACTGCTTTTCGGCGATGCCGAATTTCGCTTGGGTTAACCGGGCGACCTCGAGCCTGCGCGACCGCAGAGCGCATCACTTGCCGGAAGCTGCGCTGATATTCCGTGTTGAGGGTGACCACGCACGACTCTGTCGCTCGGATCATGGTCTCACAGGCATTGAGGATTCCCTCTCCTGCTTCCTTTTGCAAGCGCTCTACAATAAGCAGCAGGAGGAAACTGCCTTGCAGCAGCTGGATGCCGAAGAAGTAAGGCATGAAACTAACGTCGGGGTCGAAGCGGAGGATTTGTTGCACGGAATCGGCAGCTTCCAGTGCGTGTGAGATGGTCGAGGCAAAGGCCGGGGACGATGTCCAAAAATCTTTGTCTTCGATCAGTGAGACAGGGTCCCACTTTCCGACGAGTAGGATATGGAGGACATGGGTTAGGTAGGAGGAATAGGCAATCACGGTTTGAGTATGCCAAGAATAGGCCTGAGACAATTGCGGATCGACAGGTTCTGGTTTGTGGGTGTAGGCAGTCGTTGATGAGGCCGCCGGGTCTGCCGCTGTCGCTGTCGCAAAGGTTGTAAGACTGGCTTTGTAGATCTCGAGTTGGCGCAGGACTTCTGACACATGTACCTCCCATGCTTCTTTTCCTTGGAGTCTAACACCAAGAGTAGGGTGGTTTCGCGCTTGATTTAGATCGATCAGCTCACCAGTGATGGTCATGAGTGGGAGGAAAAAGCCAAGAATGGAGTGGTCGTGGCAGATGAAGTTGGGGAAAATGCGACGTTTGTTTAGGTCGCCCGACCGGGGGCATTGAGGCCCATCTGGGCGAGGAGAATTGCTGTGAATGATACCAGCTTGCCATGAGCTTTCATCCAGTGGAAGTAACAGATCCTCGCTCTCGGCATCGAGTAGGGCTAGCGGACGATTATAGCACAATGCGAGATGGCGGTCCATGATATATAACAGCCACCAGGTCCTGCGTCGCTCTTCACGGTGCTCTTCTGTAATGGGACCGTTATGCAAATCATGGTTTTTGTCGCACACACAGTTCAGACTTGAGCGGGAATTATTCGAATAGTCCAAACCCAAGCCCCCCGGGGAACCAGGCCATCCGCCTAGACCGTAGCCGAAAGATGGACTTGAGCCATCGCTCATGCTGTCGATATTGGGTGTGATGTCCATCTCTTGGTTCAATTTAAGTTCTCGAGCTAGTGTGAATGCCGCATGCCACCTAGGTCAAAGTTAGTGGAGTAGACAGGGGGAGGAACAGGGGTACAACGAACCATCTCATACTTGCAGCCTTTTGTTCACTAGATGAGATAATCGACGCGACATGAATATATGTAATGACATCGTCTAAAGATCCAGCAGGGCCTACCAGCCCTTTATCATCACCGACTCCTTCGAATGGGTGGTGAGCCCCGGCTGAAAATTCGTGGGTGGTCGCGTTTTCGGCGGGCGATGGATCTTGGTCTTTGAAAGAGACATGTATCAAAGGTCGCAGTAAGCGAATAATCAACGCACAGAGGAATTGGCATATCTTCCTCCGTTGTAATGGTGAGATGGATAAAGAGAAGGCCCGGTCATCCACAGCAGCCACCCAGAGCATACTTGCCAGCAAGGCAGGACTAGTTGGCCGAGGCCGATCCGTACTTAGAAAAGAGGTCTTTCGCAGGACATAGCAATGGATATGATGGCACACCGGATGCATATGGGTTGAGAAAGCACTGGTAAAGTATAGTTCAAGCAGATCGCACACCAGCCGCCGCGGGAGGTTCGACTCGAGGAAGGGCATGAGGGGTTCCAAGACAGGATACTTCAAGGGCGACCGAGTGGTCGATTGCTGTCTCTGTCTTGGAATATTCGCCCCGGACACAGACGGTATGGGAGGAGCACGCTGGACTGGTCGTTGGCTAGCGAAATCCACTGGATTCCAAATGTCCATCAACCGGGGCAGAGGCGCGTCGCTCCCGCCCGTGCCTGCAAGCAGATCATACGAGTCTGGCGATAGGTGCGCTGCTGACAGCCATTCCTCTGTGATATTCGCAGCAAGCCCTGCCCGCTGCGGCTGTGGACGATCAGCCACAGACCGACGGCCGTCAACACTGGGTGCTGAGACGGCGCTGATCTCATTTGTTGCCGGCGATCGGTGTTGGAAGGTCGATGCAGGAGAATTATTGTCAACCGGCGACATCACCTGCTGCGACTGCGACTGCGACTCTCGGTTGTGTTCCCCATCGGCCTGCTTCCCCTCGGTGGGGCCCTGCGCTGTCTCTTCCTCGGCATTCGCATCTCCATTTTTCGGCTTCGATCTCGCAATGCGTCCTCGTTTCCGGCGCTCACGGGTGAATTGGCAGCTTATATCACCGCGCAGACATCTCGAGCAGGGAAAAGCACGGTCGCATCGTACGCGGCGAGTATGGCAGGAATCGCAGGCGACTCTGTTTCGGCGCCAGCGTCGTTTGCCGTTTGCTAGCTCAACCTCGACCTCGAGTGAGTCGGGACCCGGAGATGGCTGATCACCCTGGGACTCCATTTCAAGGCATCATTGGCGAAATCAAGTGTAAAAAAAAAAGAATCCGAAGAGAACAGCAGAATGTTGCGGGGAAAAGGGCACTAATGTCTCACCCGCAATTCCACTTGGCGTGGAATTTCTCCAATTTTTTTGGGTCTTTAACTTTCAGGAAGGACCGAGGACATCTCATCTGACCAACACCGATCATAATGGGTTTCAATATTATTTACATGTTCAACGTTCATTATTTCTGAAGTACACTCTTGAACCGCTCCAACGCTCGATCTCGACTCTCTGCGTGGTCCACAATGGGCTTGGGATAACCATTCTTCTGCGCAATGGCCGCTGCCCCCTTGGCATAAGGTTCGTGGATGGCTTTGCCAGACACCTCGCGCAGCTCCGGCACCCAGTGGCGAATATACTCCCCCTCCGGATCGAATCGTTCACTCTGGCGAAGAGGATTGAAGATGCGGAAATATGGCTGCGGATCTACGCCAGTACTAGACCCAAATCCCCACCCGCCGTGATTCGACGCGAAATCGCCATCAATCAGATTCTCCATGAAGTACCGCTCGCCACGGCGCCAATCGAGCATCAGGTCCTTAGTAAGGAACGATGAGACGACCATGCGTGTGCGATTATGCATCCACGCGCAGTGGCGGAGCTGGCGCATTGCTGCATCGACGATCGGGAAGCCTGTCTTGCCCTCGCACCACGCTTGAAATTGGTCCTTGTCGTACTCCCATTCAATGTTGGTATGCTCGGGCTTGAAGCACTTATTCATACTATACCAAGTCTTTGCATTAGAATGGGAAACCCGTTGTCCTAAAGAATGATAACTTACCAGATGAAGGGCCAGTTCACTAGGACATGCTTGTAGAAGTCACGCCAGGCCAGCTCGCTGATCCAGGTCATGTAACCGGGGTCATATCGATCAAGATGGCCTTTGTTGATTCTCTTCGCTGTCACGACAGCAGTCCTTGCGCTGAGGGCTCCGCATGCAAAGTAAGGACTCAACACCGAAGTGTTATCGCTAGACAACATGCTCCGCAACTCCTCATACTTCTTGCCTTTCTCCTCGAGGAAGCTGTCCAATCGCTGGAGAGCTTCGTGCTCCCCGGCTGGGTAAAGCTCCTCAAGGCGTTTCTGATCTTCATCTGACAAGATGTGGGTTTTGGGTGCGGCTGGCACTTTGCAATCAAACAGGTCCTTGAATTGTTGACGCGCATTCCCTGGATTTGGCCCAGGTTCCTCAGAGACCTCAAGATAATCCGGGTTCTCTTTCAGAAATGCCAACCAAGACCGATACCACGGAGTATAAACAGAATATTGTTTCCCCTGCTGGCTAGCCAGCGCCCCGGGAGTAACCACACATGTATCATGAGTGGCCGTGAAATTAATATCGTTGTCTGCGCAGAGTCTAACAAGCTTGGCTTCACGTCGTAGTTCGTCTACCTCATACTCAATATTTGCATATAGGTTCTTCGCACCCCACTGTTGGCACAACTCCACAATCCGTTTCGGGATCGCGTTCCGTTTCTCTTGTGTTTCCATATGCAGTGGGATATCCAACTCTCCCAAGTCCTGTTGTAATCGCTTGAGTGTACGCAGGGTAAAGTCCACTCGGGCGGGACTAGTCAAATGGGCAGTCCAATCTTCGGGGGAAACGATGTAAAGACCGATCAACGGGACCTGATTCTCTTTCGCAAATTGGCAGGCCGTGTGCAGCGCCCTGCTGTCATGAAGCCGGAGATCGCTCTTGAACCAATGTACCACAGCACTACCCACGTTGATTGACCGGCGCTGGTCAGCAGTTTCCCGGCAAGCTTTCTGTAGTGTTTCAATTGGGCGTTCTAGCTCGCCATCGGTGTATGCTTGGCACCGCTCGTTGCTCATCTCCGGGGGATAGAATTGACGTAAGACTATACCAAACTCCTCGGTTTGCTTTGAGTTTGGATGTGGTTGGTGCAAGTCGGGACGACCCTTTTTACTGGGGGGTGAGCCATTAGGCTGTTCAGATGCTGGTGCGGTGGCCTTCCTCTTTGGTGGCATAGTTGATAAGTTGCGAACAAACCGGACTCGCAATTGGTTGGAAGGAAACACGCGTGGGATTGATGGATAAAAGGATAGAAACAGATTCTGCATCACTGAAAATAACAGGAAGACAGAGTATTTAAAGAAATGGCCATTCGATCTGGAGAGATCGAGATCGCATTCAGATCGGGTGACGTCAGAGTCCGATCTGGCCCCGATCGCGTTCCTGCCAGTTTCCTACAGCCTGGACCTGCTGGGATCCTTTTTGTCTTTTTCTTTTTCTTTTTTGATCTGCCATTCCAATGATGTTAGTGATACTACAGAATAGTTACAAGGTATGTCAGTGATGTTATATCAGTGATTCCCCAGTTTCTTTGCCAATAAACAAGCTTGGCCTACATAGTACGGCAGATCTGCCGTTCAGCTGGTGACCAATCAGACGCCAGATGTGAACAGCCTCGTATTCTCAGAGTGCAATTATTTCCCTTGAAAGACATGGAATCCAACAGGAATTCATATTTCACGTCTGTCATCCTGAGAGATCATATTCCATCTCTTTATGGCCACACCTCATCACCTACGCTCTTAGTTGGACAGTATATAACATATTTCTCAAGTATCCAAACCTTAAAGCAAGGGGGATCGACAACCGAGAACAGCAATCCACTCAATAATGCGATATCAGGGGAATAAAGGGAGTTGAATTCATCCCTTTTTGATACCTAACTACCTAGCTATAGGTATGACTCTCCCAACCCAGTTCCAAGGTTACCAAATCTCCCGACCTTGAAATCCGTGGCTCGGAAACTGTCCCAAATCTCCCCAACTTTCCCCTCGGCCAGTCGACTTTCGCCAATTTCCCCCATATCTCCGAGGAGCTGTCATGGAATCAGGTGCTCTATACGCTCTATTCGCCGCCGACTAAACTCTTCCCGCCACTTCCCAGGCGCAAATCTGGAATGAACTTTAAACATCCTGCAGAAATTTATCATTTTCTTCCTGCATACCCACAAAACCCTTCTTCCCTCCTTGTCATCAATCCACTCCTATCTATATCCACCCATCACTCTACTCTACACCCCAGAGCACAACCAGCAATGTCCCTCTACCGTCAATGGCTTCTACAGACGCCAGCAGCGTTGCAACCTCCCTCATTAACACCTACAGCGGATCCGATATAGCCCGCTCAGGCATATTCGCCGCCTTTGCCGCGCTAGCCTGGTACAACGCCATCGAACTCATCATCCTCTGTTTATTCTCCTTCAAACGCTGGCACGGCAACTATTTCTGGAGTCTACTCGTCTCCTCCTTCTGCATCATCCCGTACTGTCTCGGCTTCGTCCTCCTCTTCTTTCCAACGGGTGTTACACCATGGCTATGCATGACCCTCGTCGTGCTGGGCTGGTATGGCATGATCACCGGCCAGTCAGTTGTACTGTGGTCACGGCTGCATCTCGTACTGCAGAATAGGAAGCTGTTGCGGGGTGTGTTATGGATGATCTGCGTCGATGCTGTAATATTCCAGGTCCCGACTACGGTCTTTCTGTACGGGACTGTTGCACATCCAGAGAGTCGCTGGGCCCGCGCATACGATATCATGGAGCGTGTTCAGCTGGTCGGTTTCTGCGTGCAGGAATTGATTATTTCCATGATCTATGTCTGGGAAACGGTGAAATTGCTTCGTCTCAGACCCGGAGGTCGTCCACAGGGAATTCTGAACCAGTTGCTGGTTATCAATATCATCATTCTGATATTGGATATCTCCATCGTCGTCATCGAATATGTTGGCTATTATGCCGTGCAGGTTTTGTTCAAACCGGTCGCTTACAGTATCAAGTTGAAGCTTGAATATGCTATCCTTGGTAAGCTGATCGCCATCGCGCGCGGTGCCACCGATAGTCAGCATATGGAATCCTCCAGTGCGCGGGATATCACTGAAATCACCTCCTTCCCGTCGAACCGGCCTATGAATCTGGAGTCGCCGATGCGGGATCGTCGACAGTACAGTCCGCCATGGTTTTGGGAAGGGGGGAGCTCTGGTCATTCTACATCTACTTCATCTTATGTTCTGCGGAATCCATGCTAGCCTGCCTTGGGTGGTGGCGTTTTGGCTCTGGCTTTTGGCGATATCAACAGGTTATACACAGAAAAGTGCTTGATTACCCCCTTCGTACACACCTAAGGAGACATCCAAATAAGTTATCTAGAAAGGACACTTGAAAAGACATGACAAGACCGCATAAGCTGCCGGTTATTCTTCTTTTACTTGATACCCTATATGTTGGCAATCTCTACAGCTTTCTATGTTTAGAATGTTCCAAAATGTGCATACGAGAAAGTTAATTCTCCCAAATGTGCAATCCAAATTATTCACAATTGCTGCTCCAAGATTTAAAAATAGGTTCAGCGAGGGTAAGCAGGTAACCCAGTGTCAGTACCAGCCTGCAGCACCAATACACCACCGTAAATCTTACTCTCGGGCTGGACCATCGCAGTGCCGACGGCTCCCAGAGCCCGGCGGGTATCATAGCCAACTCCGTCGTCCGAAAGACCCAGCTCAATCTCAGAAGAGATACTACGACGACCAACGATGACAATATTGTTCGCCTTGTTGGATGTCTGGTTAAGTTCTTCACGCACAGAGACAACAGCCATTTGAACTGCGTCGGTAATGGTGTCGTTGGTAGGTGGTTGGTGGAACACAACGCGCTCTTGAAGTTCCTCTGGCACTGAATCACGGAGTGTCTCGAAGAAGACCGTGTCAGATTGAGAGCTGGACGCGGGGATCGCATTTGAGCTCGAGGCAGAGACTGCAGTCGACACCTCTGTTTTGCTACTATCACTGCCCAATCCACTGATTTGAATAACGGTTGCAGTGACCTGGTCATTCTGAGCGAGCTGCATAACCAACCGAAGAGCAAAGCGGTCATCGTCACCGCCAAAGAATGGAAGGACAATATGGTGGGAGCGACTGCCGGTTGGCTGGCGGGCGAAGAAGGAGCCCTGGAGGCTCATGCCGCTGGCGGTGCGGGAGACCACGGGTCTCTTTGATGAGGCTGGGGCTGGGCTGTATTCAATTAGGATGCCTACATGGCCGGGGACCCGCTCTAGGATATCAGAAACGAAGCTTGCGTAGGCGCCGTTGGAGAAACGATTGGCTTCGTCGATCTCCAGCCCGTTGTGGTGATCGGCCAGTGTTCCAGTCTCGCTCCAAGGGAGAAGGAGCATATCTGCGGTGTCTTGCTGCGCCATGCCGATGACAGTATCTGCGTAAGAGTATTCGGGGACGACAGATACACCGGCCATGAGCGACAGATCGTGCCAGTCTCCGAACGCCCGGAATGTGTTGACCACTGGATCCCATAGCGCATGCTCGCCCGCAGCAGCAACCTTCATGACACTAGAATCACGGTCGGTCAATTCCATTAGCCTTACACCGTGCACCTTGAGTGCCGTGTTGTCATCCTCTTCTTGGGTGATAGGATCTTCAACATTTTCCTCGGTTTGCTTTGGCATCTTTGCCGGATGAATGCGTGATGACACGGATGCACGTCCCTTTGGGCTGAGGAGGGCCGCTACAGTACAGACACCCGAAAGACCATCAAGACGAAGATAGACGAGGAGTTTGCGTACTGGGACGGTCTTCAACTGGTCCTTGGCAAGGGCGACGCTGTCATTGCGGTTATCGTTCTGGATAGGGTTGCCTTCCCAGTCAATTTCCCCACGTCTCCATCTCTCGACCTTGACCTGATACCATGTTGGATATAGCAAGGTGGTTAAGGGAGTAGTAAGGAATGTGGTGACCAAGGCCATCACGACGAAAATTGTAAACGTGCGAGTGCTCAGAATCTTGGCTTGGAGGCCAATGTTCTATCATGATTGAATTAGCCCACATTCACGACCAGGTAACTTCTTCTGGCGTCAGCACTTACCAACACAATTAATTCCACCAAACCCTTGCAACTCATCAACACACCGATCGAAAAGCTTTCACGCCATAATAGGCCACAAAGCCGGGATGCAACAGCACCTCCGGTGACCTTCGCAATGAACGCGATGGCAATTACACCAACCACATAACCCCAGACGATTCCAGAGTCAAGGAGGCCCAGGTTGGTGCTGAGACCGGACAGGGTGAAATAGAGTGGCAGGAAAATGACAGCGACCAAGTCCTCAACTTTCTCGGTGATTTTGATGGCAAAGCCGCCTTCATGCGGGCAGATCAAGCCAATAACAAAGCCTCCGAAAATGGCGTGAACACCAATAACCTGTGTGAAGAAGGCTGAAGCCAGAGCAATGAGCAATGTCAGGGCGACCACCGACTGGCTAGGCCCTTTTTGCAGACTGCCCGTTTTCTCGAGGAAGCGAAGGAATAGCGGGCGGAAAGCGAAAGTCAAAAATAACATGTAGGCAACGCAGACTAACAGTACCCACAGAGCCGTGATTCCACTGCCCGCGTTGACAAGAGCGACACACAGTGCAAGTAGGATCCAGCCCACCACATCATTACCAACACCGGCGGACAGCACGATGACGCCGACCCGGGTTGAGAGCAGCTTCAGCTCCGTGAGGATACGACACAGCACGGGGAAGGCCGTGATGGCCATGGCGATACCGATGAACAGGAGATAGGTACCGAAGGCGATGGGCTTGGTACCAGGGTCATCGTGGAACGAGTGGTAGAGGCCATACGAGATGGCGGAGCCCAACCCGAATGGCAAGATCATGCCCGCAGCAGACACGCTCAAAGCGACCCGCCAATTACTGATCAGGAAGCGGAGGTCGGTCTCCAGACCGACCAAGAATAGAAAGAGTACCAGGCCCAGATTGGCGACTACATTGAGACTGGGGATGCTGGCGGTCGGGAAAATGGCGTCGGTAAATCCGGGGATGCGACCCATCACCGATGGGCCCAGAACAATTCCTCCGATAACCTCAGCGATGACTCGGGGCTGACGAAGCTTCGAGAGGGGCCAGTGGATTAAGCGACATAGCACGATGATTATGACGGCCTGCTTGTCAGTTAAAGTATCGTTGTTTGGGATAGCGACATAGATACCTGGATAATAAATAACACCAGTGGGTTCTTGGAGTCATAATGGGTTGGGTTGCCACCTTCGAGGATGCCACCCTGCGGACTAACTACGTTGGTGCTGTTAGCCGTAGCTGTAGCGGTCGCGTTGGTCGCCATACTGGATAATATCCAGCTTTGGCAGAGAGAATAGACAAAGGGGGGTTATAAGTCAAGTTGGAGATAAATGAAAGTGAGGGTCAGCTTGCGCTAATACGAGGAACCAATAAGATTTCCAGTGCCATGGATCCTTTAACGGCTTGGCCTCGCTAATCTCAACTTGGATTGGTCAAAAACTCAAATCAAAGCGATGAAAATGGCCCCAGGGATTTCAAAAGGTAAATCACGAGTTCTTTTCTTGGGCTTTGGGCATATTGAGGGGAAACAAAGAAACGCCGCATGCGGCCTAGACATCTCGACCACATTCCTCCAGTATGTTACTATATGTTACTATATATACATATTGTGCAACTGTATCTTGAAAATACTAATAAAAGACCAATAATTTCCTAATCTACTGATCTCCTAATCTCCGCTATTTTTTTTTTTAAAGTTCCCACGTGGTGATGTTGACAGCTCGGGCCTTTCTTTCTAGGGCAGATGATCTACCCCAGATTACCTACAAATACAATCTCCACACTATTGGAACAGAAGCACAGTCGATTAAATATTATTTTTCTCATATGAACTGTATCTTTTATGTGGCTTGCTGATGTGCACTTTATTAACATATATTTTAATTTGGTTTGCAGATAATATATATATCAAGCCTCTCATTCCCAATACGCTACCTCCAACATTTATAAAACAACATCCAACTCGGAAACAACCTAGTCGCTTAGATATCTGTACTCCGAGACATGTGATAAAGTTCCTCAATGAGGAACACTTGGAATTCAGGCTCCTGATTCTGGAAGAGCTTGGGAGTGACAACAGGGCTCTGTCGCAGGCTGGCCACGTGTGATAGAGCTCCGAATCAACTCACCACCTAATCCTCTGGTTCAACATCAAGTTCAGCGGTGGGGCTATGACAGGCCATGATCTCAAGCCCCCGATCATATGTTACCATCGAGTCACCTGAATACCGTACGTGCTCAGTGGCCCTTTCTAACGTCATGTTTAGTTTAAAAGCCTAGTATACACAATCATATGCAATCCAACACCCACCCATAATGTAATATTCCTCAATCAGGTCAATATATTTTCCTATATGGGTACCACAAACCCGTTATAGGTACGATTATGGTTACGGAAGTACCCATTTTTGCGCCGTGTCTGGATTCCAAGATGTGCTTCACGCCAACCCCCCGAGACTTGGCATACTGACCACGATTCTGCTGCATCCCTTCTTTCTCTTCGTCATCTCAAACTGCCAATCAAATTCTTGACCCACCGAACGAACGGAGAATTGACTGAAGATGTCTTGCTTGATGAACTTTTGCATACGTGGGTACTAATTGATATCAAGAGCCTCGTTCAATTCACAGTTTCCTTCTCCCTTTTTATATTCCATATAAATTTATGGGCGTACTTAATTCGAATATGTTTCACCCATCCCTCATTTTAGGTATCACTTGCGCCGAAAAGTAACACAAATGTACTTGGGAAACTCAGTTCACACATGGGCTCTATCGTTGCTCTGAATCATATTGTGCTTTCTCAGGATTAGACTGTTTTTTTAAAAAAATCTTGCTTTTTCTTCAGGTACATGTTGAGAATGAACATTTCCAACCTTCTAGGTCAGACTTTGCCCCAACCTCGATAAGGATTTCCATGGGAGATTACACTTAGCCGCAAAGCCAAGCTCAGTTTCACCCTATTAGGATCTTTCGCTAAGCTTACTATCTCTGTAATAGGTGAGATTACGCCATAAGCCCTGATTAGCAGATAATCAAGGTGCAAGCCTGTCTATTTGATGTGGTCCGCTGTGGAGACTCTCAGCCCCCGTACGTTACATGAGCCCTAAGCCGTAGACTAGAACTAAAGCTAAACCACATGTAGTATCGATTGATACTAGACCAATGCGGTGACTATAACATTCGACTCGCCCAACATCCAACTTCTGTTTTCTCCCCAGCACAATTTTTACTCCTTATTCTGGAAAATTCCCAATCACCCCTTCGGACTTTTGGTCTTTCTTTTTTCAAAAAAGCGCTTCGGTAGCATTCATACACGTCTTGGATAGATAACCATGGCCCCCAAACCTAGCCGCCTTGCATCCATTCTCCGTCCATGGGGTCTGATATGGTTATCTTTGTGTCGTAAGTCCATGTTACCCCGCCAATTCCCACAACTCTACTAATCACTCAACTCTACAGTGCACTGGGAAGCTTTAACACAAGCCGTTCGTCGAGACGGTCTCTCAGCACTTGGCCGCCCACGACAAATTCGAGATGCCGCTTCAGCCAAGTTGCTTAGTATAGCCTGTAACTTAACCCACTCGCCATATCCTCCCACTTAACTCGTGTACAGAGTAGACTAACCATAATGCACAGCTGATGGTTTTATCGCCTACGAAGACACAACTATTGTTCCCTCGCTTGTACGAACCGCTGGCGGCGTTGTCCTTGAACTAGGCCCTGGGCCAGGCAACCAAATTCATCGTTATGATACTTCTATTGTCAAACATATCTATGGCATTGAACCTAATCCCCACTTCAAAGACGATATAAATGCCAGATTGGACAAGCATGACCTGCAGGATAAATATAAGGTCATAGTTTGTGGGATTGAAGATAGCGATGTTCTAAGAGAGGAGGGAATCACAGAAGGGAGTTTGGATGCCGTGTTATGCATCCAGGTCCTGTGCGCCGTAAAGGATCCAAAGAGCGTGATGAAGGAAGTGTGGAAGCTGCTTAAACCTGGTGGCAAATTTATATTCTGGGAACACGGATGCAGTCGAGACCGTTTGACCACTGTGGCGCAAAGTATGTCTATTTTTTTGCCACCCTATTGTCTTCTTTTCTGAGTGACTGGCTAACATGAAGAAACCTTAGCATGTTGGAACCCTGCCTGGAGCACATTTGTCGGATGTGATTTGACACGGAATGTGTTGGCGGACATTCTCAATAGTGGAGAGTGGGAAAATCCACACGAGATCGAAGAACCGGAAGAACCGTTTAGTTTGCTGCCTCGGATTCAGGGCGTGCTTGTCAAGAAGAAGGTTTAATTAGACCCTGACTGGAGAGAGTCGATTCGGAATCTTCTCATCCGGCGCTGCATATTCTTTCATACGGACGTTGCGAACAGCTCTTTTCTGTGAAAGGATCTGTAATGGGACACCTGGAAACACGACATCTTTCTCCTCACTCTTTTACATTCTCCCATTCAGCATATGGGTGCAAGATATGCTGAATTATGATACTCATTTTTGGTGATCACAAGTTAGATTTATCTGTTTTTGAAGTTAAATACTACGAATAAGGAGACAATACGATTTGTCTTGATCGAAATGGATTCAGTCTAATTCAGTCTATCTGGTATTAAAAAAAACCCCCCAACAATGCAAACTAACTGTAGAGCAGATCAAAGAAAACCGAAATACAACTCTTAAAAAGGAAACCACGACCTTCTATGAGTCACTTCATAGTTTGGCGACTGGATGTAGAGCCACTTAACCCGTAGAGCCGGGAAAGAAAGTTCCTTGCAATGGAGCATTCATTTAAAGATATTCAATCAGCCGAACAGGCCGAAGGGGATAATTCTTGCGAAGAGGAATTTAACAAGTTGAGCCAGGCGGAGAGTAGAAATATTGAGATTCACCCTTGAGCCGACTTACTGACTTAGACAATACAGCTTGCCCTCGTAAACCCGGCTGCGCAGGGGATCGGACAGTCGATACAGATGATTGACTTGCTGTCATCGTCGCATTCGAGCTATCGCTTCCTGCAGAATCCTTATTTTCCAATCCGTGTGTCACCATCCGAGCCCGCCGAGCGATAATAGCACGAGCAGGAACAATGTGCAGGATCAAATACTCATCGTGAAGGTCTTCGTAGGTCGTCTCTGAGACGTCCACCTCGAGAGTGTGAGCCACTTCGCCAGCGCGGTACACATATCCATGGCCAAGACGACTAGTTTCAATCTCCAGGATTTGAGCACCTTCGCCATACGAGCGCCATTTGCGACACATCCAGTCTTCGGCCTGGGCCTTGCTCGCGAAAGCCGAGATGAATATGCTTCTGTCTTCCTCCTTGATCCCGTTTATGTGGGATTCAACGGCAATTGCAAATTCGTTTGTGTCCTCGGTGAAGGTTTTCATGTCAGATGAAACTAGGCCTGTCTCTACGTCCTTTGTGAAGGATTTGTCATGTTGGACCCGGTAGAGACGCTCCGGGATTTGGGTTCGGGGGACGCAATGCTCGTCCATTTTGGTTAGGTTGAGACTATTCAGGAGTGTTGAATGGAGATGGTTGGTTAATGTTGTTGAGAATAGTAGAGCGGCAAAATGTTTTATGGTAGAGTGGCGGATGTAGCAGAAGGAGATTGATGAGGAAATAGCTGGTATATATAGCCCATTTGAGACACAGGATGGATGGTTCCGTTGGATTTCACACACTAGGGAAAGGACCCAAAGATATCATGCATAAGAGAAAGAAATAAAGAATTTGAGACTTGTGAATTTTCCCCAATGAGGTTTTTCATCTGAAGAGGAAAAAAAAAGCTCGTTAATCTTTTTGTTGTTGAATAGCCAAGCTTTATATGGGTTCAAGACACAAACAAAAGCAACAAAGATGTCTAGCAATCATACATGTTGTGAATGAACAAAGTAAAAGGAGATGAGACATTTGATTATATAACTTCAGGCAATGCCTTTATCGGCATCTATGTAAAAACAAGCCAGGTATCAAAATATGCAGTAAATGTACAAGAACAAACATCTCATATAGAGAGACCAAAGAAGACCAAGCAAAATGCAAAACATACTGACAACGCTCCACCAACTGAACCCGTTAAGCCTTCTTTGTCTTAGCCTTAGAGCTCCGCACCCGGAAGAGGTAATAGAGCGAGATAGCAGCAAAGACATTGAAAATGAAATAGCACCAGAAGATTCCATAGTTTCTCCAGCGATCACCCCACTCAATCTTCCTCCCAGCGAGATACTGATCTGCCGAGCTGAGAGAGCAGTACTCACAACCGGATGTAGCATTGTAATTAGCAAGCTTTCCCGGCGCAGTCGCGAGGAACTTCTCCATATACTGGAAGCAGGTCTGACCAGCAGGCGGATCAAAGATACTCATCTCCGCATTATTACACTCAACCGGACGGCCATGGAGCGCTGTAGCTCCGATACCGCCGATATAATATGTAAACGGCGAGACACGGTACATGAAGATCCAGAAGCGTGGGAGATCATCAGGTGGTTGCATAACGCCGTTGAAGATAAAGGAAAGACCGAACATCAGCGTGGCGAGCATAGCTGCGAGTGCGGGCTCTGGGATTGCACAGACGACTAGCTGTGCCATGCTTGCGGCGTAAATGTAGAATTGGACGATGAAGAGCATAATCAGGGAGCGGCGCTCGGAGTCTTGATCGGTGCCGAAGACGGACCAGTAGAAGCAGGCCCAGGAGCAGATGCCGAGGCAGATTTGGAAGGGGATCTCGACGAGCATCTGGGATAAGATGAATACTTTCCAGGAGTAGATGCGGGATGGGCGTTCGCGGACTTCGTAGAGGGAGCGCTGGACGACGAATTTGGGCATGATCTGGTTGACAAGAGTGTTGAAGATTGTGCACAGTAGGAAAATACTGAAAAGCACGTTTTGGAAGCCTTGTTGACTGTTATCTGCTTTCCAGAATGAGAAGCCGATGAATAGACCAGATACAATGCCCAAAATGAACTTGGAGTAGACGTATTCTGGCTGACGGTAATACTGTTGGAAGACTCGTCCAAGGACATAGTACAACTGGCTGCTGAGTGGCATGGCAAACTCGGAGTTATCGTCGTCGTCAGACTCAGACTCGTCTAGGGAAGGTCGAGGAATAACCGGCTTGTTGGCGTGATGAAGTCGTTCGACCTCAGCATGTACCTCTTCATACTCTGGGCTCTTGTTCCAGGCTTCAACCCAGTCTATTGAGCAAGAATCGCCAGCAACCATTTCCAGAATGTATTCAGCGGGGTTCTCGAGTTGTTCGCATGGTCGGGCGCCATTGCTCTCGAAGTATTTCAGAAGAGTGGCAGATTGGCTTCCAATGTCGCCAAAGTAGACAGTTTTTCCTCCCTTGGCCAGGAAGAGCAAACGATCAAAGGTTTGGAACAACTGTGCGCTAGGCTGGTGAATTGTCGCGAGGACAGCCTGGCCGTGGTCTGCAAGTCTTCTGAGGAACTGACAAATAGTCCAAGAGCTTTGGGAGTCGAGGCCGCTGGTGGGCTCGTCGAGGAAGATAAGCAGGGTAGGCTTGGCAGCAAGTTCGACACCAATACTAAGCAGCTTCCTTTGCTCGACGTTGAGACCCTCTCCGAGGTTTCCCACCACCGCTTCGGCAAAATCTTCCATGCCTAGGACTTGGATGACTTGTTCCACATACTCATACTTCTCCTGCTTGGTGACCTTTTGAGGCTGGCGAAGCATTGCGCTGAAACGCAAAGCTTCTCTCACGGTGGTGCTGTCAAGATGAAGATCTTGTTGTTGGACGTATCCAGTCCGACGGGGGAAATTTGCCGCTAGACCCTTGCCGTTCACGAAGATATCACCAGATACAACACCAATGGAGACTCTCTGCGCAAGAACATCAAGAAGTGTTGTCTTTCCAGCTCCAGAAACACCCATCAAGGCAGTCAGACTACCAGGCTTAACCCAGCCATTGACGTTGTCTAAGAGTCGCCGGGTGCCCTCCTTGACGGGGATGTCGTAGTTGAGAGATTTCCATGAGAGAATGTCTTTTTGCTCAGGAAGACGGATGGTGTCACTGGTTCTCTGCAGCTCCAGCTTGTTGACCTCCTCTCTTCCAAGCTCGATGTTGTGGCCTTCCTGGAGATACTTTGGTGCATGTCCGGGCCGGAAGACCAAGGCCTCGGCCTTTGACTTATCATCAGTAATATATTCTGTGGCAGTCAAGTAGAGCGCATTGAGGGCGATGCAAAAGGCGATGAGAATTCCGTAGTTCCGCCATAGATGAGAGTGCTTGTACTCGTAGTTCTTCTCGATGAAAGCATCCCCCGATACAGTTCGCTGACCGGCGACTGCACCGACAGTAGAGCAGATAAAGGACGTGCCAGTTCCATAACTTGGGATGAATGAGGAACAGTCAAATGTTCGGCCGTGGAATTCATTCGCCACGAGTCCTTCAAAGGTATAGTAGATCGGATTGATCCACCGGATCCACGAAAGCCACGGATGCATGTACGGCTGTGGCAAAGTAAATCCGGTATAAACGACAATACAGAGCACAAGCACACCAGCAATCGCCATAGCCTGCCCAACAGTTTTGGTCAATGAACCGATACTGCGGAACAGGCCAGACATGGCCAGGACTGCAGTGAGCAAAAACAGGTAATGGGTGAAGAAAGCTCCAGCTTCGCGGCGCAGGTTTGCCATGAAGTAGAGAACAACGGTGAAAATTGATATTCGTATGATCTTAATCGGTAGATCGACGACAAGGCTGGCTAGTGCTTCAGTGAACGGGTGGACAAATGCATATCCGGCTTGCTTTTCGACAACAGGACGCTGAGCATAGAGTTGAAGGATTTCATTAATCGTAAGTAGGGCGTTCATAAGCACGGCGAAGTACATCACTGCACCCTTTTGAAAGAAGTAACTGGGTGTGTCCGGGGTATTGTAGAAGATGGATCCAATGATGAGAGATAGAACGATCTGAACAATAACCGGTGCCATGGCTGTTGGGAGATCTTGGAGCATTCTCTGGTAGGCTCTGTGCATGCAAAGCCGCACCTGCATAGGGATAGAGAGCAGGAAGGGGCTGCGAGCTCGAGTGTGGCGGGCTTGTCGCTCTTCGTGGCTTTCCATGAGCCTTTTTGCGTCGTCTCCATTCGGGGGTGTTCACTTTCGAAGTTGGCGATATCCTTGTGCAAGAGCTGGTACTCTGGGCTCTTTTTCCAATGCTCGGAAAATTCCTTCGCTGTGCGGGGAACCTTGCTCTCCATGCCAGGCCGCGCCGTGCGTTCTGCTGGGTTAGTGAGAGCAGTTAAGAAGTCACTGCTGACTTGGCGCTCAGGTCTCTCCCAGCCCATATCTTCGAAATAGGACACTGCACGCTCCCTGGGTCCATAGTAGATCTGATATCCCTCGTATAAAAGGACCACCTTGTCGAAAAGATCATACATTGACTGCGATGCTTGGTAGGCTGCAATGGCATGACAGGATTTTCCCATATCAGCTGAAAGACGCAGTGATTTCACAAATTTTAGAGCGGATGCGGCATCTAGACCACGGGTGCTGTTGTCCCATGCTCCGATGCGACAGCGAGCCAGAAACATCTCGGCGATACTGACTCGCTTTCTTTCTCCTCCACTGACACCACGTACGAAATCGCTGCCCACCTTGGTGTTGTAGGTGTGGGACAATCCAAATACGGACAGGACCACCTGAGTGAGTGTCTCGACGTATTCATTCCGGGTCACACCTTCCAAGCGTTTCTGGGGCGCACGAGCATGGGCGGCGAATGTGAGAGTCTGACCCACAGTCAAGTGGGGAAATGTAGGTCGACCTCCTTGTTGTATGCGACTTCTCCTCGGTGATGTTTGATCATATGGTCAAATGCAACTCCTTTGTAGTGAAGTGTACTTTCGGGCTCCACTGTCAACCCTCCAAGGTGTCCGCAGATAGTCTTCAGGAATGTCGTACATCCACTACCGGGTCGACCCAGAACAAGAAGAAGTTCTCCTCCCTGAAGTAAGCCATCGAAGTTGCGGAGAATTTGTCTTGGTGGTGAGGCCTGCCCAGTCAAGGCTCTTGTCGCAGCTCGGAAGGGCACTTTCAAACTGGAAGTGAGGGTTTCCTGGTATTGGAGGGCGGAGCCAGAACCGCTGACGCATAGATTGGAGAAGACCACACCTTGGTCAGGAATATCAATTCCTGAGTCGTTGGCCTGGTCCAACACCATTTGCGCCCATCGGCGATGATCAAATTGGGGGTTGGTAGGATCGAGGTGGGGAGCGACACCTTTCTTGCTAGCGGATCTTGAAAGTTGTTGGCCGAGTTTGCTGGAGGCAATGCGAGTCAGTGTTTGTTGTTCTCGCTCTTCTAGTACAGTTTCACTTCGCCCCGTGATTGGAGCGAACTCGGGTTCATCGTAGTCCTTCTCCATGGCGAGGAGTGGACTGTGTATTGCGTTGTAAGGTTGAGCTCTTGGGCCAGGCATCGGGCAAGCCCGATCCCTTTTAATGAAAATCATCTCATCGGGGGACGGACAACTCGACCGGAGTTATCCATATTTACTTCATCGGAGTAGAGGTTTTCCGGGTGTATAACGGAGGAACGGACTCCGCTTCACCCGACCGAAGTATATTGCTTAGTTAGGTATTAGTTGCGACATCTCTGGAGGTACCTAGGTACGGAGAGAAATCTATTATTAGTTTAACAAATTTTGTTCCAATCTGATCGATAATTATGTAGAAACAATATATAAGGAATATTCAAAGAATTTAAAGAATTTAAAGAATATAGAGAATATAGAGAACATAGAGAATATAGAGAATATAGAGAAAGGAGGTTTGATTGCATCAATACTGTCGGTTCACGAGTTACTACCCGCACCTTCAGCCCTAGAGAATCCCTAGCGAAGATCTACATGTATTATTATGGGACATTACGGAGCACAGAATATATATTGCTGCCTTGGAACACTCGAATTTTCAAACTCTTTATGGAGTATGTCTCTTTATGGAGTATGTAAGAGTTTTGCATATCGAAAATTGGGTCCACATGGAGCCACGCGGACTAAACATCCCGACCCCGATGCATAAATAGTTGGAGATATCGGTGATTAGGGAGGAATTTCCCCTATCTCCAGAGCCTAGCCCCGATGGTCGTTTGCATTGTTTACAATGACATCTATATGTATTTTGGCCTGACTTCTCAGTTTGGGCGATTTAAATACAGGATATCAGCACACATTATATATTATCATTAATTTACTAATAGCACTATCATATTATAGTCACTGTCGATTTGGCCCCCGGAATATTGGAATTCTCACATCATGATATATATATATATATATTGTGGGACAGGGATAATAGTACACGGCACCTACAGATGGTTATCCCTCTAAAGCTTAGAGATAATATGTCTCAAGTAAGCCAGAACAAGAAAGAGCTGTTCTTGAACACGGTTGGTTTATTCTTCAGGGAGGAATGGCCAACCCATAGTTCAGGAGAATGTGCATATGTACGTATCGCATCCGAGCTGTGGAAACTTGATTTTTATTTTTATTTTTAGCGAACAATACCGAAATTGGAGGCGTCTTTGAGTTCGGGAACCCCTGCCGGCCCTCTGACTAGTTTATGGGACATTGGCACCACTCAGCTCAATCACCTCCTGCCCTTGCTGTGCCCATCCCTTCGGTGGTGCCTGCACCTCATAGTTCCAACCGAAGGTATCCTCAACAGTTCCAGATTGTATACCACGAAGCGTCTGCAGCAACCGAACGCAAACCTCACCACCTTCCTTCTGGGCACCGCAACGATACTCAAACTTATCACCACGGGACTGCATCGTAATACTACCAATAGGCACCAACGCCGCCGCCGTACCAGCAGCAATAACCTCATCGAACTCCCGCAGCTCCTCATAAGCAACCCGCCTCTTCTCCACCCGATACCCCAACTTCCGGGCAATTTCCAATACCGACGCCGCCGTAACAGAGTCAATCGCATTGCGGCTATCCGGCTGGATCACCGTGATCTGATCTCCGTCACGCTTCACTCCAATGAAAGCAGAAGTCGAGAACTCATCAACTTCAGTGCGAGTCGCACTATCCAAATGAAGGGTAATCCCAAACCCTTCCCGCCGCGCCCGGTCACTGTGCCGCAACACCGGCGCATAATTTCCACCAACTTTAGCAGAGCCAGTTCCATGCGGTGCACAGCGATCAAAATCCTCCAAAATTAGCGCATCAACTGCGCTAGCCCCGTGGTAAACGCCAGTTGGCATGGCAAACACGGCCAGCGTGTACCCGTCCGGCGGACTTAGTCCCAACTGTGCAGAGGAGCCGAAGAGCATAGGTCGGACATACATCGCGGCGCCGGAGTCGTGCGGTGGCACATACTCGGCGTTTGCACCGACTGCTAACCGTACGCACTCGATGAACAGATCCTCCGGAACGGGAGGGATGGAGACTACTTTAGCGGAATACTGCATACGCTTGGCGTTACGGTCGGGGCGGAAGACGGTTATTTTGTTGTTGGCTGGGTGGCGGAAGGCTTTAAGGCCTTCATAGACTTGCTGACCGTAGTTTAGGCCTGGGGCCATTCCATGCACTGGTATGAAGGGTGAAGCGACGAATTGCGGTGCCGACCACTTGTTCTCACCGCTATGGGAGAAGTGAATTTCGACATGGCCGTTGCCTGCTATCAATGAGAATCTACTAAGCTTTACTAAAAGGCAATTGCTTACCATCCCGGACTTTAAATCCCAGGTTATTCCAATCGAGGGCAATGGGTGGCGGGGGGAACATGATGAAGAAATGTGGGGTTGCTAATCCCTGCGGGGGACGGCTATTTATATTAGAAGCTTCTTAAAGTTTACCCAAGGTTTTTGCTGACTATGCTGACTACTCATCAATATCAGAATCAGCACCCAGGCGATGGACAGGCAGGTCGCTGTAGGATTGCATCTGTTGGCTGCGTCCAAAGGCTGTCACTAAACACACTTTCAGTCTGCCTGGGACCTCATGATGCGAGAACTTCTGGTACATGTCGGCGATGTTCTCGAATTCATCCACATACGTGAACAGCCATGACGTATCGAGTTTTCCTTGCACCACCAGATCCATCAAGAACGGATAATACTGCATCTCCAGTAAGCGAGTGATTCAAATTGGAAAAAAAAAAGGACAACCTACCTTTTGTGGCCACGTTTGACCCCCGCGCACTGTCAGCGCTTTCTGCATCAAAGGCCCAATCGGGAAATTATGCGTCGTGAAGAAGAAATCCCCAACCAATGCCACATTACCACCCTTGCGGGTTGCCTTGATGATCGCTGATAATGTATCACTACTATCGCTTTCGAGCCCAATGGCCTGCATAGCCGGATATTCGGCTTTCTGCGAACTACGGTACCCGCTCGCCTCAATAGACCGATCAAGGCCATGGTCCTCAATCGACAGAATGTACTCCGCCACATCAGGATGAGCATCCACCTCAACAGGAATCATTCCAAAATCCTCGGCAATCCGGAGTCGTTGAGCATCCTTATCCATAGCATAGATCTTCTTCGCCCCACGGAGCTTCGCTAGTCGCTGCACAGTAAGACCAATAGGCCCACAACCCCATACACCCACCACATCGCCTTCCTGCACCTCAGCCAACTCCAGCGCATGCCAAGCGGTAGTGACGACGTTCGTCAAACCGAGTAATTTCCGCGCATCGATATGTTCCGGCGCTTTGACACACGACAAGTCCGCATGCGGCACGCGGCAGTACTCCGCCTGGTCACCTGGATACCCACCACAAAAGCGACTGTATCCCAGCTTCCCGCTGAGTCGATGGCCATATGCGGCTTCCATTTCCTTGGATGGGTTTGTGTTATCACAAAGCGAGTACTCCTGTCGCTGGCAATAATCGCAGGTGCCGCATGAAATAACGGGTAGGATGATAACCCGATCACCGGCTTGGAGGGATTTGACATTCGGTCCGACTTCTTCGACAAGACCGATGGCTTCTTGGCCGAGGATGTCGCCTTTTTTCATTGCGTCTTTGAGCTCGCCGTCGTATAGATGGATGTCTGAACCGGAGATTGTGCAGTGGGTTATTTGCACGATGGCGTCCTCGGGCTCTGTGATCTTGGGCTTGGGCACGACTCCCACTTCGACTGTTCCAGTGCCCATCCACTGTGCTGCCTTCATCATTTTGGTTGGATGTGGCGTGTATCCCGTGCTGCATTATATTAGAGTGAGAGACTAGCTGTGTGCGGTAGCGATACTTACCTGGGCATTACGGCCGCCATGGTTAGGAGTTGTTTGTCGATCACCAACGCAAATGAACAGTTGTAATAAGTATGTACTCAGGGGACTGGTCCACTAACTGTTGATACTGGCGATGTGCAACCGTTTGCTCGAATTGTTGAAGATGCAGCTATGCCATAATTGGAGCAATGGCAAAATAATATCAAGATGATGCCATCAGATAGAATGACTCCATAACCGAGTGGCCAGAAAGCCATGGAATTTTTCAGGACACATGTCCGAGCCGGAACTTAAGGCCGGTTAGTACATATGTAGCCTACATATGTAGGTATGACTTCAATATCCATTGTCAGCCTCAGCCTCAGCCTCAGAGAACCAGATAAAATAGTTCCTATATACTTCTACCTTCCTTTAACCAGGTAACCATATATGACGTGCTAGACCTTCCAGACTGAATAATTGCCGGCGTATACGTAAAATATTATATTTAACACTATTTCGAGGGTCTACCCGGACAGTCCTACCAGCCTTGAGTTCTCACCGTTCAATAACAGCGAGGAATTGGGTGTCATGTGGTGTAATTGCGATCGAGAAGGAGCAGCTGCGACGATCTGCCGCAGCAAACTTCGTGTCCAATCATTACCTGCCGTGCCAAATGGCGTCAGGTAGGGCTGGCAACAATTTACGGAGCAATCCGGAGCATTAATAGTGGTAAATAGAGTGCTCGTTTTTACTTACGGAATAAGGGTAAATGGTGGTCCAATATATGTATTTGATTGCATTTGAAAGATATAGCTTTAACGACTTGTTGGTACACCAAACCGGCCATCAATCGCCGGAGACTAATCAAGCATCCTGCGCCACAAGATATGTAGCATGGTTCGCGAGAAGTGAAGTTACCTGGAGATCGAATTTATACGAAAGCTCAGTTGCGGATAAGGTTGTGGGTCCGACTTTTACCTATCCGGGAAACAACGTGCTCAAAGGCCGTCTTTTGGACAGCATCAGCCAACCCATAACTAAGGTGATTGGCCGGCAAGCGACAAGAGCAGTCGTTATTGTAAGAGCAAACCCCATCACCCTATATCGAAAAGCCAAGGCAATGACATGGTCAGTCCAACCCTCAATATATTAAATGGACTAGGTCTCTAGAGACTCACCTCAAGACAATAATCTAATACTTTGCCACTTTGATCAACGTCGGTTGAGAGCTGAGGCACTGTACTTTTGTTTTGAATGGCGGACATCGCAAACATTCCAACCGATTTTGCATGGTCTCTCTGGGCAGTACCATTCACGTTCGATAACTTATTTGGAATGCGGTAAGGGTTCCCAACGAGAATAACCGACTTGACCAAGCTTAGCGCAGGAACTTCAAGTTGATCAAGCGCCTTGAGAATCAGGGTTGCGCCTTGAGAGTACCCAAAAAGTGCATAGATCTGACCAGGGCAGTCACGAAGACCTTGATTTATGACATCTAGTACAAATTTTTCACCGCTAGTAGTGTTTTGATCAGCACCTGCTGGATATTCGACGGGTTGGCTGACACCGCCGGTTGCGTTGGCAAGTATGTCCTTGACCATAGGGTAGAACATGGTCGAGACCCCCTGTGGCTCAGCCGTACCACGAGCGTCAATCAATTCTATTTGTATGACAATGGTCAGCACCGTGATATAGATAGGATCGAGTTCATTGGAGATCCACTGGAGGTCCTTACTGTAGCTCGCGCATTTTCGAGCCTCTTCGGGAGCAGTGATATTTGCATGAGGCAGCGAAAGAAACTCAGCATGTCCACAACGGCACTCAAACGTCTTTACAAGCGTCACACATGTAGTATTGTGAGAAGAAGCCGGCGAGTTGGCGAAAACCGGGGCCAAAGTGGCAGATAGGACTAGAACGGAGAGTGAGATAACCTGAAACATGCTCGTTGGTAGGATGGTAGGAAGATTCTAAACTAACTGAGTCGCACAAGCGCATGCTTCACAGTATATATAGCATCCCAAATTGCCCTAAAGACAGAAGAAAGAGACCGCAGATAAAGCGCTTAGGTGGGTAGTGGAAATGATTGCCGATCACCTTCGTATTCCTTCCTACATGAAGGCAAAAACTCGACTGAGACCTGGTCCCCTTGAAATTTGAATCATGGTTCCATTGTATATTATAAAACTGCATAAAGATCCTTTCGAGCAAAATGTAACTGAGACACTTGATGATCCTCGGATTCCTTACCAAATTTGGTTAGATATACGAACCCCATGTAGATCGTGCCCAATGCCAAATCATCATTCTTATTTCAATCACCACAATCACCAGACTCTTTCTGAAATGACACTAAGTAAAGAATAGAGTGGAGATCCACGACAATATCGTATTCTTTTCCTACTCGAAACACAACCCGAATTTCAAATTTGCAGACCAACTTCAATATCTCTGCAGGTGGAGCTTGGATTAATAACAAAGTTCATATCATTTTATGGACAATTCTGATCTTATAATGTGACAGTCTAATAACTCATTACGTCCAAGACGTACTCAGAAGTTAGCCACCGGGCTGTGTTAAGACACTTTGTCAGCGACCTTTCTCTGTCTCTTTACCAAGTCTTCGCTGATGCGGCGCTCTCATCGGAAATCCCGCCATGGCTGTGCAGAATGCAAAACAAGACGGGTCAAGGTACTAACTATCACACGCCTTTCTACTCAACGACCCGCTGCTAATTTCATTAGTGCGACGAAGCGCGACCCTCATGCACAAATTGTAGCAAACGGTCTACTAGTTGCAATTATAGCTCATCTGCCCCGTACTTATGGCTGAGCGAGCAATCCTCCCTAGGACCTCCAACATCCCCTCCCAACTTGGGGCAAGAAGTCGAGTATTTATTCTCGACACCTTGTATCTTGAAAATTTCCCAAGCATTGTGCGACAATAACAATATTTGCCGGCCTTCTCCTTCGGCCCTTGATCTAAACGACCTCGAGCTTATGCTTCAGTGGTCAAGCAAGACCTACTTGACGCTCTCTCGAAACGAAGCCACGAAAGAAGTCTGGCAATTCCTTGTTCCTCAAGAGGCATTGTCTCATCCGTTTCTCATGCTTGGCTTATTAGCTGTCTCCGCTATTCACTTAGCAGATACCAAAGGCGAGAAGAAGAAAGCAGAATTCATGAAGAAAGCTCTCCTCTATCAGCACCAAGCATTGCTGGTATTTCGGCAGCTCCTTGATGATATCAATCGATACAATGCCAAAGCAATATTTGCATTCTCAAGTATCCTTGCTATATTCTACTTCGGCTTCCTGCGCCTAGAAAATGTCATTAATCCATCTTCATGTATGGATAATTTATTTCAGGTGCTGATGTTATCAGAGGGCGTGCAAAATGTCCTGAGAATCTGTGGACTTTCAATCCAGGAGAGCAATTTCAGTCCTATCTTTGTGTCGGCCTCGTTCGAAATGAAATATTCCATCCCATTACCAGGTGAAGTTCGATCGGCCGTGAATCGACTTTACACTGCAAACACCGCTTACGGCATCCAGAATTCGGGCCACAATACTGCTGTGTACAAAGAGGCCATTGTGATGTTGGAAGATGCGTTAAATGCAGTTTATCGAGACCACGTTCTTACCAATGCTGCATGTCGCTGGGCAATAAAGTGCCCTCGGCAATTCTTGCGAAGTTTGCAGGAGCGAGAGCCGATGGCATTAGTGATCCTCTGTTTTTACTGTGTTGTCTTGCACCGTCTAAGGCACATATGGTGCTTTGAGGGGTGGGCTACGGCTATTCTAAAATCAACATGGCCAGTATTAGAACCGCAGTGGAGGCACCTGGCTCATTGGGCAGCGACGGAAATTCTAGGAGAAATGCATCTCTGAATAACTGAATTGTTTACGTCCAGTAAGTTTCAACATTTGTTTTCATGTCGGGTACCATGCATTTATGCACTGCAGATAGTATTTCTGTTATTGTGTTCTCACATTTGCACTTCGATCACATAGGGGACTGCAACAAATTTCCTAACGCATCTGTCATTGCTAGTCCGAGAAGTTGGGCCGCTACAACGCCAGGGTTTCCCAGCGATCCGAGATCCCCCTTTCTTGGTTCAGTTCTTGATCATCCTAGATTCCTAGAACTCGAACTTGAATCAGACAAATGGGTACCGATTGGTCCATTTCCCCGCGCCTATGACTACTTCGGCGACGGAAGCTTCTATATACTTGATACTCCCGGGCATATGCCGGGTCACTTAAGCGGCCTTGCGCAGACTGGGCCCCAAGAGTGGGTCTTCATGGGAGGGGACTGCTGTCATCATCGTGACCTTCTCTCTAGAAAGAGGCCTGTAAGCGTTATTGTAGGACCCGGCGGAACAAAGAGCTTCCACAAAGACCTAGAGACCGCCATTAATACAATGGCATTGGTAAGAGAGCTGGACGTAGATGGGAGGGCATTCGTGGCATTGGCACATGACGCCCTACTGGAAAAAGGTACGCCGCTCTATCCAGAAAGGCTGAATGGGTGGAAGAAAAGCCCGTGGCACAATGAAATGCTTGAGCTCATTGCAAAAATGTACGAATAGTAGTTATGCTAAAAGTTAGTCCTGAATTATCAAGGCCACTTGGAACACTAGATGGCTACCTTACAATCTCACATTCTTGTTAAAACATGGATAGATTGTTTATACACATACGTATAACTGCCTGGCTGTCTCATGATCTATGTAAAAATACGGCCGACCATCGCGACTACCAAGGGCACCGTGATTTCGGCCCAGTCAATCGGCGATACGCACAGAAAATCCCGGTATTGATCGACTTGATCGATAGCTATTCCTGGGTTTTATTAAACACTTCATTGATAGGTGGCGAGCCTAGTGGGTTTCAAGTCTGTTGATCCTGACTACTAAACGGCTACTGCCAAGGAACTTCATACTTCAACTCATTGAGATCCGCGGCTTTTGGCGGCATCCGCAAAAGCCGCAACTGGCGGCTCCACTTCTCTGCATCCTCCGACTTCCGTTGATTCTCTAAAATTTCTATGGCGTGGTGATCGACACCATGAAAGGAATAATAATTTTAGTCGACATATTACCTCTTGAGCAGCAAGGTTTCGTCTTTTGGTTAATCAATAACTCGAGGAAAAGGGGAAGAAGCAATTCTGCAGGCCTGACTAGTCTGTCCTCTACAATATACTTCTAGGGGTTCTTTTGGGTGAAGATTGTCTTGTATATTCAGTTCAAATCGGGGGAAGATGCTGTGGATTCGCATCGGCTTCTTTGATGGCCGAATCCGACACTTCGGAGATAATTTGATAATTACCACCGTCTAGCGGACATGGACGACATTAGATAAATAGTAAGAGTTGTCTCATGCTTCAACAAACACAGTAACCTGACTTCAATTCATTTTGATTCTACTCTGAACCACTCCTTGTCAATTCGGTTCCTTATATCTTTCACTATGACCCAAACACAACAGCCAAAAGTCGCCATCATCGGTGCTGGTCCTGGCGGCCTCACTTTGGCTCGTTTCCTTCATCTCGCCAATATCCGCTTCACGATCTTTGAATCGGACCAGTCGGTAGACTCTCGCAGGGTCACTGGCGGCATTCTTGATCTCCACAAATCGACGGGACAACGGGTCATCAAGGAGGCAGGCCTTTGGGAAGAATACGAAAAACATGTCTCCTATGAGGCAGAGGATCTCATCATTGCTGATCGAAACAATCAAATTTTGCTAGACTCCAAAGGCCAAACTAAAGGACGGCCTGAGATTGACCGACCAGCATTGCGTGACTTGCTTTTGTTCTCTATCCCGCCAGAGAACATCCGCTGGAATAACCGCCTCAAGCATGTGGATGAGGATGGAACCTTGCATTTTGCCCATGGAAAGGAGTCCGGCTATGATCTGATCGTGGGTGCAGATGGTGTTTGGTCCAAGGTTCGCCCAGTCGTCAGCCAGATCGCACCGTTTTATTCTGGCACCACAGGGTTCGAGCTCTGGATTACCAACCCAGTTGCAATCGATGAGGATATGGATTCCATGCTAGGCAATGGCTCCTACTTTGTGTACGGAGGAGATGATCGGGTCTTGATGGCTCAGCGCCAAGGAGACCGCTCGGTCCGTGTTTATGCCTTCATCCGCAGGCCTGAAAGTTGGATGAAGACTGGTGGTCTGGACTTCACCAACCGCCATGCCATCAAAGGCTTCCTCCTCGATGAATTCAGAGCCTGGAGTCCGGAGCTTCTGCGACTGATCTCTAATTGTGACGGCGAAATCATCCCCCGTCCGCTATACATGTTTCCCGTTGGCATTCGCTGGCCACACAAGGAACGCTTCACTCTTTTGGGAGATGCAGCCCATGCCATGACACCCTTCGCAGGTGAAGGCGTTAATACCGCCATGTTTGATGCCTACAAGCTCGCACAAGCCATCATCGCAACTCCCCGGGATCTCGACCACGCATCTAACATCTATGAGAAGGGCCTGTTCCCTCGCGCTACCAAGGTTCAACAGGCAACTTGGGAGGAGCTCCTCTGGACGTTTGAGAAAAATGCAGGCCCTCGCCTAGCAGATCGGATTACTTACTTGATTGATATGCATAGCAAAGGTCTCCCTGTTACGGAAGGCATGGGAGCAGATAACTCCATGGATGATTAGATGGCGACGGAACAAACTGCAACTGTTTTTCCAAAACTACGATGTTTTACAAAAAGTTGACATCAATACTGGAGTGTCTTTTCCTGAAGATTTTCTCGCTGCGGCATCTTCAAGAATGCTTTCGAGCTCCGTATTGGCATCGCCACAAAACGCATTAAACACATAAAATCTCCACTTTAATCTCGAAAGAATTATATTCCGTTAAGCATTATGCTTTCACTGGCATTTATTGACCATTAACAATCGTTGACAACTCCTCGTACGCTATTATTGAGTCATCATTTATTCTACAGTGCACCACTGGGATCGTGGAAAGCGTCGCTACAAATGCACGTTTGGTCGGCCCCAAATATGTAGTTGTTATAGTTTCTGCCTTATAGCGGAAAGGGAAAGCCATGTCGCGCGGCTTAAAATCCGGTGTATGTATCACGCAACAGCTGAGGCATATATACGAGTGCCACCATAGAGTTGATAGGCACACTTGACAGAAATACTAGTCCAACATTCAGCAATTCCAATACAGCAGTCAGGTGTCTCTGATGTCAACAGGGTTCAGCCGCACTATTTGAAATGAAAATTACATTTCGTGTTCAGCATTGGTTTAATATCATACACCGGTGAAAACACTGTACAGGATCATTTCGATGTTGATAGAGATAACAAAGGAACGCGTCGTATGCATAAAAAAAATAGGATATCTTAAAAAAGCAAATCGTGCATGTTAATTGGATCGCTGAGCCCAGGGCTTGCGCAGTTTGGTTGACTGGCCATTGGGCATGATGTCGCCCGAGTCACTGTCGCTCTTGCTACCATCGTCACTGCTGGAGTCGGAGTCGGAGTCAGAGTCAGAGTCAGAATCAGAGTCGGACTCGGACTCGGACTCGGACTCGCCGGAGCTGGGCACTTCGTACACATCGCTGCGGGGAGCCGGGGTAGACTTGGACTCAGGTCGCAGCCTAGCAGCCAGTTCCTCCTTCTGGCTGCTCAGCATGCTCTTGAGGGTTATCTTTGGTGCTTTTGCGACAGGTTCCCGAGGGGTGGACCTTTCCGCCTCCAGCCTCTGTTCACAGGCTTTCAAATTGCCTCGCAAGACTTCAAGCTTGGCGCGGAGCGGCTTTCGCTTGCTGTATTCGAGCCTGGAGTTGGCCACTTTGCCCAAGAGGGTTTTCATCTCAGTCAAAATGATCGTAAGCTGGGGATCATAGTTTTCCCGAAGCTTGTGTTCGATTTCAGACCTCTCGGCGGCTTCCTTGTCCTTTTGTGCTTTCTCATCCAGCATAGCCTGTGCTTTCGTCTTCTTTTCACTCTCAACTTGCTGGGTCAACTGTTCGATATCAAACCCAGGTGGGTAGACCACTTGACTACTGGATGGTGTTGCCTGAGCAGGTTCGGAAGTAGATTTGGGTGTTTGCTTATTGACCTTTGCCTTAGTGGTTGCCTTAGGAGTGGCTTTAGATGCGGAGGTTGAAGGTGTTCCCAGGGTAGGCTTGACAGAGGGGGTGGGCGTCTGCTGAGCGGGCTTGGCCTTTGACGTGACCTTTCGTGCGGTCGCGCTCGAAGGTGTGCCCTGGATAGTGTTGGTGGTAGGGGTGGACTTTCCAATCGCAGCATTGCGCGGGGTGGAGCGTGGAGCGAGATCCAAGCTAGAAGCAAGGCTGTCCCCCTCGGCGAAAGACACGGATCGCCTCTCCGTTGCTGGAGAATCCTTGGCACGGATAGCAGATTGCAACTTTTTCGTCCTGTCAATTGCAGGAGTTTGTTTGTTCACAGAAGTAGAAGAAGGCGCATCGGCAACATTCACGTTGCTACTTGGGAAAAGCGGTGCACCAAAGGAATCCTGCGTGGATGTTACCTCGGATTCTTGCGAAAGATCCAACCTCACGGGCTGTTTGCTAGGAGGGCTCTGTGTAATCCCCAAGCCAATTCCAAACTGAGGAGGTTTGGGAGGCGCTTCATTCTCCTCTCTAACACTGGCTTGTCGAGCTGGGCTCGAGAAGGAAGGTGCGCGGACTCGTTTTCGTACTGGGCTCGTTTGGGCAGATGGAGACTTCGATATGGACTGCCGAGCCTGTTGAGATGGCACAACGACCGAAGGCACCGAACGAGGAGGAGTAGATGGGGGGCGGGTCGAGGGATGGGCCTGTCCCTGACGAGCTTCTTTGACCGACGTGGGCTCTTCGGAGGGCTGCTTCCGCTTGCGTGATCGAGTCTCATGAGCTGTACCGTTTGTGTTCGACATTGAACGATCCGAGTGATCCAAGGACTGAGAGCTCCTAGTTCCAATAGACTCTTCCATCTGTACATCGCCCTCTAGATCAATCACATCCCTAGTAATGGGAATCGAGTTATCAATGCGAGGCGTGATGGGCTCATCCTTGGGTCCATTTTCTTCGCTGGCCTCAGAGTCCGATTCGGACTCAGACTCAGATTCGGATTCGGATTCGGATTCAGAGTCAGAGTCAGAGCTGTCGGAGTTGTCAGAACCAGCCTGATCTTCTGTTTTGCGCTCAGCGTTCTTCTTCTCTGCTTCAACCTCCTCGTCCTCGCTATCGCTTTCCTCTTCGCTCGACTCCCCACTGGAGATCCCGATGACCGTTTCCACTTGCTTTTCCTGCGGAGGTTGGGATACAATATTTGCAGCCACTGCCGCCAGATGTCCTTGTCCATTAACTCCATTGGTCATGTCCGACTGGAATGGTAGTTTCACGATACGCTGCGGAGCAGACTCTGGTTCGATATCACTTGAGCTCGCAGTAGCCTCCTCAGTAGATTGCGTCTGTGGGTGAGGAATGATATGCTTGGACGCAGACGACATAGGGGGGGATTCGGCGTCATCCGGCATTTGCGTAATTGTTCGCTTAGCTGTACTACTAGCAATGGGTAGCTTTACAAGCTTGTTGGGCTCAGGTTGCGTTTCTGGTGACTCGGCAGCTACAGATGCGGATGTCGGCTGGGACCTGGTGCTGGATGCTCGTCGCCCAGCTGGCGATGGAGACTCACCAAGCTCCTCACTTTCCCGTCTGGGAGGCGGCGTGCCAGCAATTGTAGGGCCTGCAGACTTCACTGGTGGGAAAGTGGTCACAGGATCGCGCATTTCAACAGAAGAGAGAGGCAAATCACGATGGCGATGCTCCACTGATGACTTCCGAGTTGAGACATGAAAGTTATTATCGGTATGTTGAGCTGATTCAGGCGAATGTTCCCATTGGATGTGAGACTGAGAGATAGATCTAGAGTGACTACGCACAGATTGGGCGGTACTCTCTTCATCTTCTTCCTGGATCGCAGGGAATTGGGTCTCCATGGCTTCCTTTTTATCCTTCATAGCACGCTTACGCTCGTAGGCAACAATAGCAGCATCCCAATCCTGATCGACAGAGGGGAATCGTTCCGGGGCGGCCGCGGTAGGCCTTTGAATAACACGAACGGAGCCTCGCTGGTCGAGGCCATCGGTGCGGGCTTTTCCATAGTCAACCCAGACATCAGCAACAGTCAAGTCGGGATAAAGATCGAGGTCTTCCTTCGTATCGTCGAGGATTTTCTTGATCGCAAGCGGTCTATCAATGAGCAAATTTAGCAATCACAGTACCCTGGAACAGGTGAGTTTCATATGAATACTTACTCCAGCTCTGGGTGAAGCTTTGCCCAATGTTCTTGAATCATGCCCGCGAGACCACCAAGTGAGACCTCTTCGGGATGTTCGAGGACAAGCAGGAATACACCAGGTTTCTTCAATGTCGTCGAGACTGCAGATCCCTGGCTGGAGTCATCGTTGGTGGTCTTTCGTGCGCCGAGGAAGGTCCTGCCCCAGCTGGAGCTTGAGTTCGAGCTCAGCTGCTCCCGCGGGTACACCTTGATTGAAAGTCGGAGGAACACCATTGTGTCAAATAATACAATACGCAGTGAATGCGCATGCAGCCGATGATTTTAATTGGAGCGAGCAATGACGCGTGGGGGGGAGGAAGTTCAGGTAAGGGTAGTCGCCGGTAAAAACCCGTAGAGCTGGCGTGGAACGGTAATTAATGGTAAGGAGGGAATAAGGAAATATGAATTTATCAGGCACGCATGTCTCATCAAATAGACAAGGTGCCAAACACCAAACGGAATGGTGTAGGGTGAGTGGGTGAAAGGGAAAAAAAAGGTGCAGAACGCGGAAGAAACTGGCGCGAAGTAATCACGTCGGCGATCCACTTATCTACCGGTATCTATAAGACACATCTGCTAAGTTAAGGATAAGAAAATGTTCAATTCATGCTATTCTATTCCTTTTTGGATCTTGAATCTTATGAAAATGGACTGATGTTCTATAGTTCCGGGTGCCTGGACAGTTCCATAAAATGCAGATGATCTTTGCTACCTTTGGAAACCTTCAATATATAGAAAAGATGATAGCTTTTAGTATTTTCATATATGCCTTCTAAAAAATGTGCCCCAACATAGATCTATTCGGGTGGCACAAAATACCTCCTGAAGCGATCATTCCGAGTCAAACCCAGCTCAACAACGACCGCATGACAGCTCATCAACAAGCTAGGGAACCTGTATGTCCAGAAATTGAGATATCCCTCCGGCAAGCCGCCAATGCTATCCTTAAGATGATCAGGCATGTCATTGTAGTGGTTGCGCTTGTTGCGGAGAGCCCTCAAAAGATCTAGCATCCGACCTCCGGTGTACTTGCGCTGCTTGCCGAGATTGTCTTTGAAGTCTCGCGGCAATGAGCGCAGGAAATCCATTTCAGGACCCATTACCCGCTCAGCCACCGATTCCAGGCAAAGCAGCGAGTCTGATGGGGGGTCGCGGGGCTCAAATTCGAAGTGGTCAGATACATCACAGAGGAAGGTCAGGCGGTCTGACGGGGGCCAGAAGAATGGGTGCATCAATACAGCGCTTGCGTCAGGACTAGAAATTCATGTCAGTAAAGTGAATGTGTTTATGCAAAGAAGGATGCTTACCGTTGGCGAGGGTCGAGAGACAGCATCGAGCGGATGAGATCATCCGCCTCAAAAGCGTAGTCGCCTAGGCGATTTAATTCCTCCAAATCGAAGTGGCCCTTGACGATGTTTGCCTCCCGCATAAACTTGCCATTCTTGTCGAATGGGTGGCTGCCACGGGTCAGGACGTAGTAGAACACACAGCCCAGTGAGAAGATGTCGATGGCCCTAGTAGCGCGACGGTTTGTCTGCGGGTCCACCACAGCTGGCTCCGAGGACTCAGTGTGCTGCGATGCGAGAGACATAGGACCGTCGTCATCAACCAGGAGTTCAGGGGCACGCCAACCGGAAGTTCCAGCGGCGTGGGCGGTGGTTGCCCGGAACGAGCTTTGGTTGTCTTCGAGTTTCTTGCAAAGCCCAAAATCGGAGATAAGGAGCCGCAACGACCGCGAAACACTGCGGCCACGCGGCATGGCCACGAGAATGTTCTGCGGCTTCAAATCACGGTGGACGATCTTCAAAGAGTGCAGGTAACGGACACCCTGGGTGATCTGCCGTAGTACGTCGGGCAGATCTAAGCCGGTTTGGACTAGTTCCGGGTAGCTATCGGGGCGCTCAATTACATCCTGAAGAGATGCTGGGCAAAGCTCGAGGCCAATATACAAGAACCCAGTGGCTTGCTCACGACAGAAGTATCGGATCACGTTATGATGGTCATCACTTTCCTGCAATAGGCCCACCTCGTGGGATGCAATGTCATAGAATTCCATCAACATACGCTTGACCGCGACGTCTCTTCCATCGAACGAGCCGCGGTAAACCACGGTGCCATGGCTGCCATGTCCAAGCACAACATCAGTGAAAACCTGAAGCCGACCGATACGAACAACACCATCCATCTCCATAATCTCGTTCGAAACAGTCCGGACCATCTGAACATCATGCTCAGGTCGAGGCTGAGGGGCTAGGTTATTGGCCTGCTCCACGGCCTGATCAGCCCCCTCGGGGCTATCACCCTCACTGCCAGGCTTCTTGCGACGGCGGTGGGACTTTCCTCCCCGAGAGCCACGAGCGCGGGGCTTTTTCTTTGGTTTTCCAGCCTCGTCGGCGTCCTCGTCATTAGGACCACGTGACGGCTCACGAATCTGCACCCGCGGGGTGGAATCGAGGGCGTGGTCTCGCGAGGCACGCGGGGTTGATCCACCATCTGGTGACGCATCATCCAAGTCTAAACTTACCGTGACATTGGGAACTTGTTGGGTTGGCGTAGATGAACGCTTGATATCCGGGGCACCGCCGACAACAGGTGTGGAAGGGGTCGAGAGAGAAGGCTTATCGCTTGAGTTGATGATGTTCTTGATGTCCAATTTTTGCTTGGCCAAATCGCGAAGGTGGTGCGAGTTGAAGTAGATGAATGTGCAGATGAACAGTAAAATCAACGTCACAACAATATCTAAAGCATTGTCCCAGCTCTTGCGAATGATCGCGCTATTTCGCAAGGCGGGAGGCAACGCCAGCTCAGAGGGACTGCGAAGGATATCTCGTGGTGTGTCATTTGAGAGTTCAGAAGTAGATGACCCGGCGATTCTAGGAATATGCGGACGAATGATCCGAGGGCCAGTGAGAGAGTGAACACCGGCCAACGCATTCCGCTGCTGACGGGCAGACAGACTCATCAGTGCTTGCCCCTGGCGGAAAAAGTCTTTGTCATAGCATTGAGCCATTGGGGCGCGGCCCGTGGCCAGGGGATAGGTTTCCTCTGAGAAAGCGTACCAGCCCCCTGCCTCGGTGCAATCGATGAATACACGCATATCCCTTTCATCGTTAAGGGATCCATAATCCGGATCCGGTGGCTGAAGAGGTTGTGAGAGCAGGACCAGTGGGGTCGAGCCATCTGGTGCATCTTTGTTGGCAGGACGAACCACGTCAAAGACCCGCGCCACAGGAGATGAAAAGCGCTGGGTATAGCGGGGCCGGTCCATGCGTGAGTGATCGAATCCCAACACAACACCATCATGCATACTGTAAATGTGGCTTTCATCCATTGTCCTGTAGTACTGGCTCTGTAAGTCCATATCACGGTTGTTCGGTGCCCACTCCGAGTATTTCAACGTGCAAATTGGATCTCCCGTCTCCGTATTTTGTATGGCGACGGCATATTCAACCCGACCAAGAACCAAAGTCCCAGATGTCGACTCGCACTCATCGGAGTCCAGATCTTCTCCGTTCACCTTCCGACATTCTGGTGCAGCGGTAATTGGACCACGGGAGCTAAAAACTCGCAGAATGCTGCCAGTCCGGGCATCAATGGTGTACAATGTAGTTTCTTTCCGGGCAGTATAGGTCACAGCGGGCTCGGTGCCGGAATAAGGGGTTTCGTCAACAAGCTGCTTCACTGTCAATCCGAGCTTTTGCAAGCCGGCGTCTGGGGCGGGGCTGTAGATATATAGGCTGCCATCTTGGCTCGGTTCGACGATCCATAAAAAGTCGTCTTCGGGCTGTGTATCGTCAAAACTGGAACGATTCGCTCGGTGGTAGACGCTTTCGACCACAGGGCTACTCGGGACCTCGAGGGCCCAGCGAGCAGTTCCGGTCTTGCGATCACGTGCGTGAATTGTTCCGTCGACGGTCGCCAGCAGCACAAAATCCTCAACCTCCCAGTCCTGCAAGGACCGCGCGTGAAGCTGCGAAGCCAAGCCCGCAGCGGTGCTGCTGGCTTGGACAGGAGGGGCTCGAACGGCACGGCCGGAGCCTGCCAGAGCCAGAGTAGCAAGGGCGCTCGCATCGTTGGGTTTCACGATGAATGGTGCGGCCGCATTGGCTGCATGTTGTTGTGATGACTCTTGTGCTAGTGGCACAGAGACTCGAGAGATAGGGTCATGGGCATCTGATTGCTGCAGCGGAGCGACCAGAGTTGGGAGAAGGAGGAGTGCGACACTGGCGGGCAGTGTCGAACGGACGCCCGGCAGCCGCCACCGCATTGTGGAGCTGTCAGCACAAAGATTGAAGGGTAGGTGAACGATCGAGGGAACGAAGAAGGTAGCGGAGGGCGTCTCATGGGCCGATGTTATGGACAAAGGATTAACGGTTCAAATGAAAGTGTGGAGCGAGTCGAGAATCCGGGTGGCGGATCATCACCCAACCCACAAATGGTTCGAAATCGAAAACAGTAGGATATTCACCTATAGTCTAATAATAATGCAAGATGAAGACATGGAGAGAATGTCAGAATGCAAGAGATGAAAGAGGTGAGACTGGGGAACATATGTGCAGGCAGAGAGATTGTGTGTAATACACGTGTACATTACAGGCTGTGACCAGTTTTCCGCGCCTCCACAGTTGTAACGGTAAGGTATGATACTTTAGCCTACGCACGCCTTCGATCTACACTAAATACAGCGTAGCCTAGAACAATAAGAACATTCGAGAGTGTCTTATCCCTTATCCCCTTAATATACTGCTCCCTGCATAGGTCTATAACTACATATTGAACTAATTGACTAGTTAGAGTAGAACATAAACTATAACTAGTTCATTATGCTTATAGACATCTAACCTAACTTACCCCTCTAGGTGTGTTTTATACATTCTCTACTCTGTAGTCACACCGTGATTGATCACTTTAAGACGAGTCGAGTCCTTCACAGTGGATCTTTCAATGCTGATCATAAAAACTGAACCCCCAGCCTTTTAGAAGGGTGGGTCAAGTACCCTGTCCAGCGTCAGGGGTAGGACCAATCAAGGGCAACAGAACACACTATGAAAAAGAAAGAAAAAAAATTCGAAGTCCATTATCACCAAGTTTTTTTTTTTTTTTTGAAAAAATGAACTATGTAGATCAAAGCAGCACATCCAACGCCACAACCCCGTCCTCGTGCAGTACACGCCGGAAGTGTCAGTGAAAGGGAGGGGGAAAAAGTTAAAAAAAAAATAAGGGAACACAAGAAA